AAAAGGTTTTAGTTTTCTGGCATCAGTTTGATCCAGGCCCACATTCAATAACTGCCCAAGGTGCACACACACACACAGACACACACACAGACACACACACACAGACACACAGACACATACACACACAGACACACATACACACACAGACACACACACACACTCGTGGGGTGTGCTGCAGAGAAGTGCCCCGGATGAGAAGGCATCGTCAGGCGCTGAGCGAACTTGTTGTAAGGTTCCCGACTCGGCTCCGACCAGGATCGCGAGGCAACGCGGCCGGAGCTAAGCGTGCTCGAGCCGAGCGACCACCGCCATGGGAGGCAATGTGCCGGGCAGCACGAGGCGCAGCGCAGCCAAATCCATTGTCGTTCTGCGGCACCTTCTGCATGGAAGCTGCCCACTCTCTCCCCTGCGCCCCCAGTGCCACCCAGCGGCCACGTGTAGGATACCAGCACGCGTCTCGCATGCCGATGGCAACCCCAATACATCACTCGAGTCGTCTCGATATACATCCACAGTACATCGCTATAGAGTACATCTCGACTCATCTAGTGGAAATCTGTGAAAAATCTGAATCAGAATCAATCTAAATACAGATTATTATTCTGATCGCTATACATTTCTATACATCCCAAGTACATCTCTCTTCGGCTCCAGTAAATAAATATATATATCTACATATCGCTATACACCCACGGTGTGTGGAGGTGGTGGGATGGATTGGAGCGCTCAGCCGGTACTGCTAAAGCTTGGGCTCGAATTCGTGTTTTAGCCGCCCGTCACTCATGATGGTCGTAGCCTGTTCATCAGAAACTACTGCAGAAAAAAACATATTTCAGTTCAATTATTTGTGTCTCCTTCATTAGTTCAGCTGGTTCGGCTCTGCGAATGAAAACTATTTTAAATTTGATTGGCATGCGACAGACACCTCTAAGGCAGATTATGTGGCGCTGCTGCTGCGTGGTGCACACGCAAAGTCAGCAAGCACACTCAACGCGTTCGTCAATAACAACACTGTGGCTTTTAAATAAAATGAACACGTCATAGGCGACGTTTCGGACAGTGGCCCTTCTTCGTTGCATATACGCCTCCTTAGGAGGGCGTGTGAGAATCTGCATCGCCACCTGGTGTGGTTAAGACGAACACTCGATTTGGTGACTCTGCTTCTGCTGCTGAGATGGCAGTGGTGCGAAAGCACAGTCAACAAGAGCGCTCAACGCGTTCGTGAATAATCACTGCGTGGCCCTCAATGGCAGGCGGTGGTGTTCGAGGCGGTGTCGTTCTGAGCGGAGCGGTAGTGTCACGGTTATCGCGCTGCGCTACCAACCCGGCGTCCCGAGTTCGATTCCCGCTCACGGCCAACACCAGTGACGACTATCTGAACCATTCCCGGGCGTCCCATAGGTCGACTCAGGGGCAATGAAGCAGCTGGTGTGATATTTTAACATCGTCACTGGGGAGGCAAAGGCGACCGGGCGTGGTGCCGGTCACCCTCCCCGTCTCGTGCTGTGCCGTGCCGGCCTTCATTGGTGCTCGCCAACATCACTTGCCCCAACAATATGTGAAGGCTATACGGGAGACCTTTGTCTTGTGTGTGCTGCTATTGTTATTGCCAAATGTATTGTGTGTTTGCTTGCTTGCCTGTCTGCTAAGCGTGCATCATCGCAGAGCGATCTAGGAGACGGGGCTTGGGTAGGACGCGTGGCTGCCCGGTAACGATGCCCGCTGGGTCAGAGGAGAGAGATCGCGCCAACGGGGACGTCCCACGGAGGGAGTCCAATTAGCGAGCCGCGACCCTCGGGTCCCGGTGCGCCACGGGGAGATGGAGCGGTGGTGAATCGAGCTCTCTCTGCGTGCGCAGGCGCTGAGTGGGGAGTGTGAAGTGGCAGGGCCGTGGGAGATGGCGACGGTTTGGAGAGGCGTTCATCCAGCAGTGGACTGGTCATGGGTTGCGATGATGGCGATGGTATTGTTTGTTGTTGTAAGTTGCTGACCCCGTGTCCCTACTGCACGTCCGTGAAATAGAGCTTCATAGCTCATCGGATTCCTCCAGTATATAAAAAAATATATTCTGATAGTGATGATGCTGATGAATAACATGGCAGCAAACGACAGAAGCTTTCCTCAAGGGCAGGATGGAGTAATCAGCCCGGGCAGCCCCGCTCACAAGACCAATAAAGCCCTCGTTGCATCCGCGCTTATGTTATCTTGGAATCCTCATCACGGTGAGCACCGTTATCCAATTAGCGAGCTAGGGGGCTTGGGTTTGGTGGAGAGAAGGGGGGGGGGGGCAGTGGGCTTGGGTTGACGGGTGGAGTTGGAGGGGGGGCGGAGATGGAAGCGAGGTACTAGTACACGGAGCTGCCTGAGCGAGACCCTAAGCTTAATCAGACTCGACCGCGTCTTCTCATCCACCACCACACTGCAGGACTCACCCACTCACCCGCTCACTCGTCCACACAAACACCCACTCATTCACTCACCTACCCACCCTCCCACACACCCACTCATTCACTCAATCACTCACCCACCCACATACCCACTCCTCATCCACTCACTCACCTACCCACCCACCCATCCCCTCCCACGAGCGTCTCTGCTCCCAAGGCCGTGTGAGAACCTCGCCCAACTTAAGACGCGTCTCAACTCGGACGTATTGCAACTTTGAAACGTGCTGTTTGTTACAGGCCGCTTTGCGGTGTTGGGCCTTCTGGACTGCGTTCAGGAACAGCGATGGAACAATCGATGCGCTCGCTCAAACCGAAACAAATTCAAACCAAGGCAATTACTGCCACTCAGCCGCTCCCCCACCCCTCCACCTTGGCTGTGAAGAAGAACCATTGCCCGAAACGTCGTATGTTACATAACGAGTGAAGGAGAGTGGGGGGGGGGGGGCATGGAAAGGAGATGGCGATAGGAAAATGAAGAGAGAATGAGAAATGAGAGTAGAACCGGAAAAATGAAAGGGGAAAAGGGTAAACGTGAGTGAGGGATGGATTGACCGTAAGAGGGAATGAATGGTGGGGGAAGAGTGAAAGAAGGAGATAATGAAGGAGAGGTACGAGAAGAGAGAGGGTGAATGGGTTACAGAAGGAGGAAGATTAATTATGGTGGGGAGATAAGGAAGATGCAGGGTGGGAGTGAATGGATGGAGAAAAGCTGGAGAGACGGGGGGGAGTGAATAAGTGAAAGAAGTAAGGCGAGGAATAAGGAAGGAGGGAGGGAGGGAGCGGGTGGGTGGGGGAGCGATCTAAGCCCTTAACGCTCTCAGTGCGGGATCCTCTCCCCAGGACATTCACCGCACACCGCGGGAAGCTTCGGTTTGCGTCCAGGTGCGAGCGGAGAGACCGCAGAGCGCGCGACTCTTGCGGGCGTCGGAGTCACGCGACTCCGTAGCACGGTGGAGCCCCCACGCCTCGGACCCCTGAGCTCCAGGAAGCTTCAGGAATCCTCCTCCACCTTCATCGTCTCCTCCTCCACCTCGTCCTGCACGGGTCTCAACCAACTCGCTGCCATGAACTTCGCAGCCCATGTCCTCTTCTCGAGGCTGCAGGGAGGGCTGCTCCACGGGCGGGCGGCGCTGCCCCCGACGCCCGGCTGTCCACAGGACCGCGACTCAAGCCCGGACCCCTTTTGGAGGTGGTGTGGGACCCCGCCAGACCCCAGCTGGGCTCCCTACGACCCCACCCCCCTACCCCCCCTCCCGGGCAGCTGCTTGCGTGTGGCTCCTCGTCTCGTGCTTGCGCGCCGCGCGTGAAGGTTTGGTCGTGATGATGACATCGTTTGGTGGTGGTAGTGTTAATGACCACTCCTGGTCCTGGTGGTGACGGTGATGATGGCGATGTTGGTGGTGATGTGTGGTGGGGATGTTTGGTGGTTATGGTGATGATGTTTGATGGTGATGATGTTTTGTGGTGGTGATGTTTGGTGGTGATGTTTGATGGTGATGATTGATGGTGATGATGTTTTGTGGTGGTGGTGATGGTGGTGGTGATGTTTGGTCGTGATGTTTGATGGTGATGATTGATGGTGATGATGTTATGTGGTGGTGATGTTTGGTGGTGATGTTTGATGGTGATGATTGATGGTGATGATGTTTTGTGGTGGTGGTGGTGGTGATGTTTGGTCGTGATGTTTGATGGTGATGATTGATGGTGATGATTGATGGTGATGATGTTTTGTGGTGGTGGTGGTGGTGGTGATGTTTGGTGGTGATGTTTGATGGTGATGATGTTTTGTGGTGGTGGTGGTGATGTTTGGTGGTGATGATGGGGATGGCATAGGTAGCGATCTGTGAACCTCAGAGAGCACGGAGGCCACGTGGCTTTTGCCCAGCGCGTGCTAAAGCTAAATATAGAGCAGACACGACCACACACAGCGACACACAGCGACACACGCACACACGCAGACACGTATGTATTAATATAGAACTTATTTCGCACCGTACCGACAGACTTACACGGAGACACACATAGATACACACGGCCACACAGCCACAGTACCGCACGCGTAGACAAAAACATACACACACAGACGCACAGGCAGCCCCCGACCCCCTATCACCTACATCGAGCGTTGGGCACCGCGCAGCGCGCCCACGGCTGCGGTCTCGCGCGTGGTATTTTTAGAACCTCGCGCGCAGTGCGCGTGTGGGGGGGGGGGCAGGGAGCGTGAGGGTGACCCGTGAACGCGTCTCACACCAACCCCATTGCGTGTGGGGGGGGGCAGGGAGCGTGTGTGGGGGGGGGCAGGGAGCGTGGGGGTGACCCGTGAACGCGTCTCACACTATCCCCACTGCGCCGCGTCCCAGGGACACATCTCCGCTACCGCTTTTACCGCCTCGGGCTCGGCCTCACCGGGACCGAACCGACACCCCCTCGCTCGCCGGGGTTGACTTGAGCAGGGGTGGGCGGGGTGCGGGGAGTGGGGGGCGAGCCAGCGAACTCCGCGGGGCCTGCGAGTTCGGGGTTCGCGTCGGGAGAGAGTGGGGGTGGGGGGCGGTGATGGGCAACGTGGTGACCGTGAGAGACGTGAGAGAGGTGGACGGCGAGGGAGACGTGCGGGGCGTGTGGAGCGTGGGGGACGCGAGCGGGGTGGACGGCGAGAGGGACAGGGGGGGCGCGGGAGACGGGGAGAGCGTGAGGGACGTGCAGGGGGTGCGATACGTGAGGGGTGCGAGCGAAGGGGAGAGCGCGAGAGACGGGGAGGGCGCGGGACACGGGGAGGGCAAAGTGGTGAGCGTGAGAGACGTGGAACGCGTGAGGGAGAGGTTGGAGAGCGTGAGACGCGGCTTGAGCCTCAGAGACGGCTTGAACCTCAGAGACGCAGAGAGTGTGAAGCACGGCTTGAACCTCAGAGATGCGGAGAACGTGAGGTACGGCTTGAGCCTCAGAAACGGGATCGACTCCAGAGACGCAGAGAGCTTGAGGCACGGCTTGAACCTCAGAGATGCGGAGAGCTTGAGGCACGGCTTGAACCTCAGAGATGCGGAGAGCTTGAGGCACAGCTTGAGCCTCAGAGATGCGGAGAGCGTGAGACGCGGCTTGAGCCTCAGAGACGGGATCGACTCCAGAGACGCGGAGGGCGCGAGGCGCGAGTCGATGGTTAAAAGCGCGGAGCGCGCGAGGCGCGGCTCGAACGTGCGAGACGCAATCAACTTCAGGCGCGCGAGCAGCGCGAGACGCGCCTCCCAAGTGCGAGACGGGGCGAACAACTTAAGAGACGTGTTCAGCGTGAGAGACTTGAAGAGCGCGAGACGCGGCTCGAACGTGCGAGACGGGGTGAACAACGCAAGACACGGGGTGGACTTTAAAGAAGGGGTGGACGTTCGAGGCGGGGTGAACAACGGGGAGCTCGATCGGCTCGAGCGAGTGAGCGACCTCCAGGCCGTGCTGAGCCTCCTGCTGCGCATGGTCGTGTACGCGGTCTCTGTGCTGCTGCTCAGGTGAAAGCGAGTGTGCGTGAGTGTGTGCGTGAGTGTGTGTGTGCGTGTGTGTGCGTGAGTGTGCGTGAGTGTGTGCGTGAGTGTGTGCGTGAGTGTGTGTGTGCGTGAGTGTGTGTGTGCGTGAGTGTGCGTGAGTGTGTGCGTGAGTGTGTGCGTGAGTGTGTGTGTGCGTGAGTGTGTGTGTGCGTGAGTATGCGTGTGTGCGTGAGTGTGCGTGAGTGTGTGTGTGTGAGTGGGTGAGTGGGTGAAGGCGAGTGTGTGTGTGCGTGAGTGTGTGTGAGTGAGTGTGTGCGAGTGTGTGTGAGTGTGTGCGAGTGTGCGTGAGTGTGTGCGTGAGTGTGTGAGTGGTGCAACGGTTAGCGCGCTGCGCCAACACCAGTGACGATTATTTGAACCGGTCCCGGGCCTCCCCTAGGTCAACTCAGCCTCAAACGAGTACCTGGTGCGGTGTGTAAACATTGCCACTTGGGAGACAAAGGCGTCAGGGCGTGGTGCTGGCCACTCAACCCCTTGCGTGCTCTGTCGGCCTTCATAGGTGCTACTCGCTAACGGGACTTTCCCCAACAGTCTGCTAAGGCTATACGGGGGCTCTTTGTGTTTGTATACCTACAAACACTGTGACTGCCGACACCCAGGCAGTCACCGCGATGTCCTCCTTGAATCGGTGCTCATCTCCTGTCTACAGCCTGGAGTCAGCGGGAGAAATTCCTCATTCCTATGGCGGGGGCGAGGCGATCCATGTGACAACCCACTATTGACCACTACCACAAAGTGAAACTCGTTTGTATCGATTCCGTAAGGATTGCAACTCCACTGTGAGACGCTCGCTCTGCCACTGAGCCACATGGCGAGTTACTCATCCAGCAGTGGATAGACCATAACTGATAATCGATTATCATGATGAATCGATAGATACATGTGTTGTGCTCATGATGAAAGAGTGAGTTGATGATGGTAATGACGGTGATTATGATGATGAATGCCTGTGATAATAATCGTTGCTATGTCTCGCGCGCGTGACTTCAGCAAGGATGACGCGGCGATAGGGGAGCCGCGGGGGGGCGGCTGTGGACCGGGGGAGGAGGGGGAGGGGGGCGAGGGGTCCCCCCCTTTATCAACCTCCTCTTCCGCATCATCATGGGTGAGAGGCTCATACCCATTTCTCTCTCCCCATGTCTCTTATGTCTCTGTCTCTCGTCTCCCACTCTCTCACTCCCCTCCTTCTCCCCCCGCCCCACTCCCTCTCGCACTTCTCGTCATTTTCTCTCCACTTTCAACAAGCCCGTCGATACCATCTCTCGCCTCCCTCCCCACACTCTCCCCACACTCTCTTCTTCCTCCCCCTTCTCTCTACAACACCTCCCCACCCCCCCACAGCCAACACTCTACCTTCTCTCCCCCCTTTGCCCCACACTCCCCCATCTCCCTGCAGCCCCCCCCCCCCCACTCCACCCCCGAGTCGCCTGACACGAGGTTCGCTCTGTGCGCGCAGGTGAAAGGAGTGGAGAACGGGGGCGGCTCCTCCATCGCGGAGGGGGCTGGCCCCTCCCCGCTGCAGGGACCCTCGGCGCGGCCCCCCGGCCCCAACGGGGGGCCGCTGCCGCAGGGCCCCGCGGCGGGGGCCGCCCCCCGCCAGGGCCCCGCGGCGGCCCCCGCGGCGGAGGGAGAATCCCTCCAGTTCGAAGAGATCAGCGCCGCCGCCTTCATGATCCAGAACGCGGTGCAGCGGACTCCGTGCATGGTGGGGGGCTGTGGGGGGGGGGGGTGGGGGGCTGTGGGGGGGGGGGAGAATTGGTGGAGGGCGGGGGCGGGGTGGTTGGGTGGAGGGATCGAGAGGGACGACGAGAGGCGAGTGGAGGAGGGAGATGGAAAGGAGGTGACAGACGAATGGGACGGGCTTCGAGGGATAGGAAGGATGTGGGGATGGGAAGTATGGAAGAGATGACAAAGGATGAGGAGAGGCTTCGAGCGATGAAGCGCGATGGATAATGGGGAGCGGTGGGGACACGTGACAAGTGACGTGAAGTGATGGCGATGGATGAGGAGTCTTGTAGGAGATGGACAGGCACGGGGAGACAAGAGGAGGGATGAGGAGCGAAGAGAAGAAATGAGACGGGATCGAACCCATGTGCGTGACAGTGATGATAATGTTAATTAAATTATAGTGATGTTTAATGTTACATATCGTGTCGTGGTTCATGTAAATTGCGTCTCTCACAATCACTGAGGAACCACCGACACGAGCTGGAAGGCAGCGGCAGCCAGGCGGCTCCGCAGTCCTTCGTCGTATTAAGATGTTTTCAGCAAAATTAATGAGTGTTTATACAAGTGGCAGCGACCGGATCGCCCGGATAAAATCCACGTGCGCGAGGGGGCAACGCGCTATCCCATCCAGAAGGGACAGATGGTATTAGTCGGCACTGTTGCTGTCCGCGCTGAGCCAGAGCGCTCACTGTCTGCTTCACACCGAGAGGTAGAGACGATAATCACCAACAGATCATTTGTCAATCCACTGCTGGATGAAGGCTTCCCTAGGCCGTGCCGGTCTTGGCGTTGTTTTACCCTCCTTCGTCATCCACCAACCCTCGACTCTACGATGATGCGAACGCCGGTGGAGATTCTAACCCTACCACCTCCTCCTCCCTCAATCTCCCTCCATCCTCTACCACCACCTCCTCCTCCCTCTACCTCTTCAATCCCGTCTCCTCGTTCTCCCTCTCCACCACCTCCTCTCACTCCATCCTCCTCCTGCACTCAGTACTCGCGCCTCTCCAAGTACTACGGATCGGAGATCTTCGTGAAGAAGGAGTTCCTCCATGTCACTGGCAGCGCCAAGGAGCGTGGGGTGCGCTACTGCCTGCAGATGATGAGCAAGGTGGGTGAAGCCCACCACTCGCACCCTCAGCAGTACCATCCGCAGCACCGCGATCGGCAACAACCACCACCGCCATTCGCCACTAAGTGGCGCTGACGTCACCACTGCGCTTGTGCCAGGCCAGGTGCACGTTGAGGCCAAGTGAAGTGTCAAACGCGCGCTGGCAGGAGGTCACGGGACAGACCCAGCAGGTGCCACGGGTCGACTGACTGGCATGCCCGGCCTGCTTTAGGTTCTCTATCCCACGTTGTAGTCGTAGCTGGCCGACGGTTGGCACGGCCATCGGAAATGTTTCTTTGGGGTTTCTAAATTACGGTCACACGACATTCATGATGTTATCACAGCAGCTAAAGTTAGAATGTTTTTAAAAATAAATTACTGTCGTGAGTGGTTTATCTATCATTAACATACCTTGAGTCGAATAAATGTGTTAATGTTACCTAGGTAAATAAATGCATATTTTGATGACTTCATACATTTTTGTTACTTGTGCCCACTCAAACCCTTCCCCCATATGAGCCTAAGGCCCCTCGACCTGATCATCACCACACTTACCATTACCATCATCAACAACTACACAATCAGCATCACTATAACCAACATCATCGTCGTCACAATTGGCAACATCATCAGCATCACCATCACCACAACAAGCCTGACTAACACCATCACCGCGCTCAACATCGCCACAATTGCCAACATTATCAGCGTCATCAGCACCAACAGCGTCACCATCACTATCAACAACCACCGTCAGTCACGTTCACCGAGAAGTCAGCATGGACAGCACATCGAGCTCCCACCACCTAATCAGCACCACCATACGGCACGTGCTATCCAGCGATGGATGATATCCCCCCACACGCCATCGTCACCCCGCACGGTCCTGCGAGGCCACGATGAATATCGCTCCCCTGCACGCGCTGCCCTCATGGCTACTCCATCTCCACGAGTGTCATTCTCTCTGGCGAGTCCCCTCCGTTGGCTGCTCTTCCACCACCACCACTGAGCCTCACCCCCCCCCCCTTGTAGCAACGCGTCGTGCCCAGCACCGTGGCGCTCTCCCCGAGTCAACGCGACGTCGATGTCCCAGCTCGCGTCCCTCCGTCCCGTCTCTCCTCTCCGTGCAGTCGCAAGCACGCGTCTCCCCCACGCTTCTGGCGCATACCTCGCCCTTTGTTCCATTGTCTTTGTCAACTTCCGTGTTTCCGAGAATGTGGAATTTCACCACTAACTCAGACCACCCCCCGCCTCCCACGATGCTCTATTCCTCTCTCACCCCCAATACAACCACATTCTCTCAGCTCGCCCCCCACCCCTTTTCACTTCCCCATCGCCACCCCCTCCCCATCTTCCTCCACCCTTCTTCTCGACACCATTCCAACTCCCCCAACTTCACGCACATTCCACCCCCTTCCTCCTTATTCCGCATCCCCTCCGCCGTTTCCTCACCCCAATCCCCCCCCCCCCCACTCTCTCCGCCTTCCCATCTCTCCATCTCCCCGCCACCAACTCCCTCCCCCATCCCCCTTCACTCTCCCCAACTTCTCCTTTCTTCCTCCTCTCTCCACCTTCCTCGCCCCCCCCCCTCACCCCCCCCCCCACACTCCCCCCCCCCCCCCGCGCAGGATCAGCGCGCGCGCGGGGTGGTCGCCGTGGGCGCGTGCAGCTCGGCGCACGCGCTCGCCGTGTCGCACCACGCGGCCGAGATGCGCGTGCCCGCGCGCGTGCTCGTGGCGGCGCGCGCCCCCGAGGCGCTGCTGCGCGCGTGCCGGGACCTGGGCGCGAACGCGGCGAGGGTGCCGGTGGTGGGGGGCAGCAGCAGCAGCAGCGGCGGCGGCGGGGAGGGGGTGCGGGGGGCGAGGGCGCACGCACTGCAGGTGGCGCGCGAAGAAGGGAGCGCGCTGCTGGAGGAGTGAGTGACCCTCCCCGCGCCTTCACCAAATCGCTCCCGCCAACAACGTGCGTGGCGAGACCCTAGTCCAGCAGTGGGTCGAGCAAAGGGGCCTCTGTTCGTGTTTCACGCAACACGAGGCAGCCCCCCCCCCCCTCCAATAAACATGAAGCGTGACGGCCTTTAAATGGGGTGGCGAACCGAATCAATGCGAATTAAACTTTAAACACACTCCGAAAATCGCTAAACGGCGCGGGTAGCGGCGCTTGTGATCTTCTTGCTATCCACCACGCACGCAGCTCTCACTCCATGCAACTCTCCCTCTCACTCACACCTCCCCTTCAGTGCCGGATTGTCCGAGTAGCAGAAGTAGCTACAAATGCTACGGGCCCCGCACTTTCAAATGCCCCGTGCTAAACGCTTTCAAGCTGTCAATTCCGGTTCAGTGATTCTGCACTTGCTCTATTACTATAGCACTATACCGCCTTCAACTTTTATGAACGACCGGGTGTTTAAGGTTAGCAATTTGTCGTATTATCTGGCTGTATAGTAAATGAAAAAATACAATGACTTTACTGTGCAAGTAAAAAATTGGTGCTTTAATATTTATGTTTTTTTTTTAGGGCTCTTTATTCTTGGATCTTTCGGTAAAGTCACGTAGAAGGGAAGTGATAAAATGAAGGCCCCTTTAAAGCAACATCTGCTACAGGCCCCGCACGAGCTGAGTCCGGCTCCCCTCCGAGCACCGCCCCCACCCTGACCGCCGCTGGCTCCCCGTACCTCCCCCTGCCGCCAGTGACGACCACCCCAACATGATCGCGGGGATGGGGACCCTGGGGCTGGAGGTGATGGAGCAGGTCCCGGGGGTCGAGGCGGTCGTCATCCCGGCCGGGGGCAGGGGCAGCCTCCTGGCGGGGGCAGCAGCCGCCATCAAGCACCTGGACCCGCACGTCGCCGTCGTCGTGAGACACACACGCCGCCGTCTCGCGTTCGCGAGAGGGGGAGGACGGTGGTGGTCGGAGTTGTTGGGTGGTGGTGGTGGTCGTTGTTGTTGTTGGGTGGTGGTGGTCGTTGTTGTTGTTGGGTGGTGGTCGTTGTTGTTGGGTGGTTGTGATCGTTGTTATTGTTGGATGGTCGTTGTTGTTGTATGGTGGTTGCGTTGGTGGTGGCAGGGTTTAATTTCGTGCTAAACCACATCCGGTCGCTGGTAGATCGACTCGGAGTCGTCGGCGCGTAACTGGTCGCCAATGCCACGGCGCGAGGTCTCCTGAGCATGGCGTGCTGCTGCGTCTAGACTCGTCCTGTGTGTCACCCACTGTGGGTCACGTGCTGACTGTGTGACACGTGCTGTGTGCCACCGACTGTGGGTCACGTGTTGTGTGCCACCGACTGTGAGACACGGCGGTGGTGGGGGTGGTACTCCCAACGGTGGGGTATTGATGGTTGTTGTTGCTACTGCTGTTGTTGTTGTGTTAGTGGTGTTGTTATTGTTGTTGTTGTAGGGTGTTGAGCTGGCCAGCTGTCCCAGCTGGCAGCGCGCACTCACCATGGGCCAGCCGACACCGAGCTGCAGTGGCGACGAGAACCGACTGTGCGAGGGTGAGATGGACGACGTTACCTATGTTCACCTGTATTTCTGCGTACCTGTGTGTGAGTGCACCTGTTCCTAGGTGTACCTGTGCCTGCGTGTACCTGTGTGTGCCTGTGTGTGTACCTGTGTGTACCTGTGTGTGTACCTGTGTGTGTACCTGTGTGTACCTGTGTGTGTACCTGTGTGTACCTGTGTGTGTACCTGTGTGTACCTATGCGTGTGCAGACCTCAGCTCACAGTCCGTGGGACCGAACGCCTTCGCGACGGGGCGTCACGTGATCGACAAGGTGGTGTCGATCACGTGAGTGGCACGCGAGAGCCACATCGATGACCCGCACACTGACCCACACCAACATGCACTGACCCACCGTGACACACACTGACACACGTACTTTCGGGTCACTCATACGAGGACCAGCTAGTGAGCACCTGCTGAGGCCGACACGTTACAAGATTGGGGGCTCGATGACTGGCTCAGATAATCGCCGTGGCCCAGAGTCGAACTGAGCCCGTTGGGTCGGTAGCGCGGTGTGCTGACCGCTGGGTCACGCACAGTGACGCACATCGCAAAACTCACCACACGAGCCGTCGATAATCATCATCGTCTCATCACCAACCACCACCACCAACCACCATCACGCGCCACTGTGGGTGACGTCACAATCTCTCTCTTCGCCCCCGAACGCTGCCACTCGGCTCCTCCAGATATTGAGACCCCCCCCCCCCCCCCACACGGGGGTCTCTCCCCCCCGCACCCCTCCCCCACCCCCCCGCCGCAGCTAAACATTTTGGCGCGCGGGGTAGGGTCCCTTGGTTGCCCCCCCCCACCCCAACCCAGCTGCGTTGGCGCGGCTCCCGCCCCACCAAACGACTGAGCCGTCAGCCCACTCCCCTTGCTTGGCAATTCGGCTTCCAGGTAGGGCAGCGGCCCCCCCGAGAGGGGGCCCTGGGGGTGCCACCACTCAGCGCCCTTGGTACGGCATTGCCCCCCAGCGTGCCCGCCCGCGTGCCCCCCAGCGTGCCCCCCAGCGTGTCCACCCGCGTGTCGCCCGCGTGCCCACCCGTGTGCCCACCCGTGCCCCCCCCCCCCCACGTGCCCACGTGTGCAGGGAGCAGGACCTGCTGCTCGCCATGCTCAAGGTGCTGGAGTTCGAGGGCGCCGCCGTGAACGCGGACGGCGCCGCCGCGCTCGCTGCCATCGTCTCGGGGAAGCTGCCCGAGCTGCGTGGCAAGCGGTGAGCGTGCGACGCGACACAAAGACAAAGGGCCCCCGTGTAGCCTTAGCATGCTGCTGGGGCAAGTGCTGCCAGCGTGTGCATCATTTCAGCAGCAGCATTGGTTCAACACAAGCAGGACCGGATTCGACATTCAGAGTGGCATCAGCAGAGTGCGTCGGGCTTGATTGAACAAGCAACGCCGGTGAACTGCGAGTGATTTAGATGAAGTTTACTTTGGCGTCGGGGTGAGTGTCATGCGAGACGAACATCTCTCCCTGTGGCCCAGCGGTAGCGCCGTTCGCCGCTAGTTGCAGAGGTTCGCGGTTCGATTCCAGCGGCCGACCCGATTAATACTGCGGGTGTAACAACCACGTTGATGGTACGTGCCGCCTGCTTCACGGTCCACGTTAAATCTCTTATGAAGTCATTCGCCAGGGTAGGCCACCGTGTGTTGGCGTCAGGGTCCACATTTTGTCAAATTATATATTTTTTCTGCAAACTACTCAATTGGGATCGCACATGCACAGCAGGAGTCATCCTTTCCCCCAACTTCGCAAACTTGGCATGACCCTCCTGAAAAAAGTCATGAGACTCAGTGAGGCTTTTCTGGGTAAACACACCAAGTAATAACAAGAATTAAAACCACGTGTACGGACCCAACACACCACAGCCAATATACCATCTTGCTATGGCTTGCGCTGTTCGTAGCCACCACGTGCCGCCTATTGGAGTCTACTAGCGACGCTGCTTCTAGAGTTCCATAGCCCAGAGGTTTCCCAAACCCCAGTCCCCACTGGTGGCACCACCACCACGCTTCGTCTTTCCGCGTTTACCAATTGACTCCTCCCCATTCAAAGACAAATTAACTCGTTTCCACGCTGCCTGCACGCGCCCGATGATCGTCAAAGACGCCCCACGTGACATGCGAAGCAATGAACGCTGGCTGCGTTAACAGAGTCAATTCACATCGAGATATCAGCGTGCGCGTGCACAAGTGTCCCACGTGTGACGTTCTTGCGCGTCACCCCCCCCCCCCCCCCCCCCCCCCAGCGTGGTGGTCGTCCTGGCGAGCGGCAGCACCGACGTCTCCCACTTCAAGCGCTGCGTGGACCGCGCGCTGGTGCTGGACGGGCGACTCTGCAAGTTCTCGGTGCGCGTGAGCGACTCTCCCGCGGAGCCGGGCAGACTGCTGGAGCTGCTGGGCAGGGAGGAGGCGAGGTGAGTCGCCTGGCCGCCTGCGCCGAGCTCAGGCGGGCGGGCGGGCCGGCAAAGTGTGGTTCTACGTGGACTCGAGTCATGCCACGCGTCCTCGTCTCTCGAGTTCCTCGCCAGGATGAACGTGCACCTGAGCATGGTGGTGGTCACGTGAGTGGTGGTGGTCACGTGTGTGGTGGTGGTCACGTGTGTGACCTGTCTCCCCTCACCCTCCCCCAGGTTGGTGGACATCAGTCTCGACCGCACCTTCCTCGCCACCGACTCGTTCAGCGTGCAGGTGAGTGCAGCACCTGCCGGGGGCGTCTCACAGCCCGCTCGTCTGAGCGGATACTTCGCGGCGTGTTACAACCGCTCATTGTCATTACGACAATGAGTTGTGTCACCATTGTTCTTCTGGGCGTGGTTGTTATTAAACCGCGTGCGCGTGTGCAGGTGACCTGCGTGGTGGAGACGCGGGACCACGTGCACGCGGCGCAGCTCAAGGGGGTCCTGGCGGAGAAGTACGCGGCACTCACCTGGCACGACAAATAGGTGAGAGCAGCAGCAGCAGCATCGGGGTGTGTGCTCGCGAGACGCGGGGTCTATCCACTGCTGCATGAAGGCTTCCCCACGGTGACGACATCGCATATACGTCCCCGCAATGCCACAATCCACTAACCCTAACGCACACATAGGTATGTAAACATACGAGTACACACACGCGTGCACGCGTCACGCGGGGTTAGGATTAGCAACTATCTGGCGCGTGCAGCGTGTAACGATTTGCATTCGGAGATCGGTCAACGTGGTCCGTGGTGGTGGCGCGAGGGGCAGCGGCGCGCACGTTCAGCGCTGCAAACCGAGGAGCCACGTCCCACGGGCCGCTCACGGCCCATCGCGACCTCATTCCACACGACCCAGGGTCGCCACACGAAGCGCAGCCAATCCTAAACGACCCGCAGGCGATGTTCACCCATCACTACCGAGCTTCCTAGCCGCGCGAACCGGGCACTAGGAGGAGAGAGGGGGGCTAATTTTCGATCTGGCGACAATGCGTTATTGTTTCGTCACTTCTCACTCCGCAATCTCGCCGTGACAGCAGTGGTCGAGGTATGTGCGTGCGCGCGTGTAAATCTTGCGAAAGACGGCAGAGGGATCTTTAACGTCCAACGTTAAGCAGACGGCGCTTAGCGGTACTATCATCACTGTCACAGCACGCGCAATATTGACCGGGACGGCCGCCGAGTTTGAACTGCGCTCGTCGACAGCGCGCTAACACTGGGCCGCGTCAGCGCCCTCACAGTCGCGTTCGGCCTTCAGCGAGGAAGAAGACCCCAAGGCCCTCGTGGTGCCGGTGAACTCGCCGGGGTCTCACGCCAGCGCGTGTCCCCTCTGCCTCCCCAGGCTCGCAGCTGCGCAAGGCGGGGAGACTCGGACCCCCGTGACCCCCGTGAGCCGAGGCGAGGCGCTCTGGGTCCACCTGCACCGGAGCGGCCCGCGCTGTGGGCCCTGTAGCGCGCTGCGCCAGCAGCAGCAGCACCGGCAGCAGCAGGCACAGACCCCCCCCCCCATGGTGGCTCTGTAGACTCGTGGGGGAAGTTTGCGAGCGCCTGTTAAGGCTCGGTGGTGTGGCCGAAATTACGCCCCCCGCCCGCCCACCATTATCACCATTATCACCATGACCATTACCAAAGACAAAGATCCCCTGTGTAGCCTTACCAGACTGTAGGGGCAAGTGCTGTTAGTGAGCACCTATGAACACCGGCACGGCACACGAGGGTCTGGGTAACCAGCACCACGCCCGGCCGCCTTTGTCTCCCTCGTGGCGATGTTTACACACCGCACCAGGTACTCATTTGAGGCTCAGCCGACCAAGGGGATGCCCAGGACCGGTTCAGAATCGCCACTGATGTTGACCGTGAGCGGGAATTGAACTCGGGTCGCACAAGCGCAGTAAACCTCGACTCGGTAAACCTCGACTCGGTAAACCTCGACTCGGCACATGCATCAATGGACCTACTTCATAGCAGATACATCGCGAGCCCAAACCATCAAACGAGCCCAACCCCTCGTGCTGTCATCTTTGTGAAGAGCCATTGCCCGAAACGTCGCTTCTTATGTATTTTCCTTGTCTTCAGGCCACAGAGATGTTGACGTGTCCAGTTGTTTCTGCTGCGAGTGCTGATTGTGTTGTCGCCGCTGCTGCTGCTGCTGCTATTGGTGACATCTCTCATGTTACTACAGCCGCTACGACTACAGCTGCTGCTACTAATCCCGCTCCTGCTGCTGCTATTATCATGACAGCTGCTGCTGATGCTCTTGCTGCTGCTATTATCATGACAGTTGCAGCTGCTGCTCCTGCTGCTACTGATGTTACTGCTGCTACTGATGTTACTGCTGCTGATGTTATTGCTGCTACTGATGTTACTGCTGCTGATGTTATTGCTGCTGCTGATGTTATTGCTGCTGCTGCTATTATCATGATAGTAGTTGCTGCTGCTGGTGTCCTCACTGTAAATGACGCCGATTCCCCGCGCCGCTCAATGTGCAATTCAACCAATCACGCAAATGACGCGCGCGACATAAGCCAGTGCACGTGCCAACGTCGAGCCAACGTTGGCACGCGGTTGGCACCGTTGGGCCAACGTTGACTAAACGTCATTCCGTGTTGGTTGGGGATTCGATGGCGACTTGAGTGGCGCGTGGCGAGCGGGGGACCTGTGTAGGATAATGAGTATGTACTGTACTGTACGTTCAACTTCTTTCGCACCGCACTGACGCTACGGTATGTGTATCCATACTACTACCACGAGCACCCAACATTAGCCCGACCGCTAGCCGCCAACGCGAGCAGAAACCACGACACGAATCCTCGGAATCGGGCCGATCCGTGACGCGAGCCGACCCCATTGTAACTGAGTTCGATTGTGAGTCGATGCCCGTGGTAACGAAGAGGAAACAAAATGTGACGTTGATTGTGCGTGGATTCTTATTATGTTCACAGCGCGCGATGCTTTTCCAATAACAGAGCCCTGACCCTGACTCAGCCCTAACCCCGACCACAACGAATCCCCTCCCCATAACCCTGAACAAAGCCCTCTAACCCCAACCACAACACGTCCCCTCCCCAAAACCCTGATCAGAGCCCTCTAACCCCAACCACAACACGTCCCCTCACCATAACCGTGAACAGAGCCCTCTAACCCCGACCACAACACAGCCACAACCTTGACACTGACATAGCACTAAACACAATCCCACCAATAATCCTAACACAGCCCGAAACGCTCACCATCACGTTGACCCCAACACTGACCCTCCCCACGACACTGGCCGTACGAACGCAGCCATTGGCCGTGACCGTGAGACGAGACGAGGAGGCGGCGCTCACCACCCAGTGAAGGTCTCGCCGCGTGATCCGCTCAGCGGCTCGGCTCATCCCAGATGAAGCCCCCCCCCACCACCCCCAGCCTCATTATACGTGGGGGGTGGGGGGGGGCGTAGTGAAGATGTAAGCGAGTTGGCACAATTACAGCAGAGGAGCTGAAACACGGGAGATGCATTCTGGCGTCTCTATGAGAAGAGTGAAGCGGGAAGTTGAAGCCGGCAGCCGGCGGGAGGGAACCTGCGACTGGGGAGTCCGAATTTTTGATGGTTGAAGCAGGGAGCTGAAGCAGGGAGCTGAAGCAGAATGTTGCATGGTGGGGGGGGGGGGGGGGTGAATTCAGGGGGACTGTCAGGGGACGTTTACCGAGAGGAGGTTGCATCATGGAGGTGGCGGGAGCGAGTCGTGAGTCACGGCGTGTCCCTGCGGGGAGTCGCCACTTCATCCCATGAGCCCATTTCTCGCCCAGCCGCCTTTGTCTCCCCAATGCTGTTTACACACGGCATCGATCCAGGGGAGGCGCAGGACCGCTGCAGATATCGACTCGCGATCCACACGCACAATCGATCTTCATTTGAAGGCGCTTCTGTGTCGGGCACGTGCGTTGGTACACAATCAGACCTCTTGTCGCCAGCACTGCACCGAGGCGGGTTATCAAGTTTTCCCAGGACACGGCCTGATTTCATCGCTCGATTTTTCGGCATGCCACGATTTAATCGCCCAGTCGCGTGATAGAATTGTTACAATTCGGGATCACGATTCGTTTGTAGTTTTTGTTGTTTGAACCGTTAGCATCATCGCAGAGTTCCTAAATTAGCATTAACCGTGAATTTTCGACGCATCGTTACAAAAACATCCATAAAGAACAGATGTAGTCCACACTCTGCTGTCCCACCTTCTGGCAAGTGATGGTCGGGTTCCTCCTCCACACCCACGGGAATGGAGTTTCAGGACATTTGTGTGACCCACCAACCCTCGCCTCCATCGTGCTGGACTACAGGTGTACGCCAAGACCACCAGGATAAATATCTGATCTGGGCTCATGGGTAGGGTATCAACCATAACAAGAGGGTGAACGAGCCTCTCCCGGGCTTCATTTCATATCTGTCGGTATTCTGAATATTCCGCACCCACAACACCACGTTCAGCATCCTTCTCGCCATGGCTGGAGATGCGTCGTCACGTGCCACCGACCCCAACCAGTGATCCAGAAAATTTTTCGGCGAGATTAGTGAAGTCCCGAGCCACCACACAAACCTCACCAGCCAAAAAGTGTGCCACTCGGTTATCGCGTTCATCATGTGCCGGCGAGGAGCTCGGGTTGCCAACTCGACTGCACAAACTGGGACATCGTGGAAATTAGAATTTCCCAATATATTGTAAATGCTTCTTGTTTCTTTCGGTAAAGTCACGTAGAAGGGAAGTAATAAAATAATAAAAATAAAACATAATAAAACAATTCTCACGACGTTTCGGCTACAACGCAAGCAGCCGTCTTCAGGTGAAGAATGAGACACTACCAAACTAGGAGCTTATATATAAGCTGCATTGGGGGTTGAAGAGCGCCTTAACAAAAAGAATGTGCATGTGAAGAGGGATTTAGCATATTCATGGAAAATGCGTAGGCGTTGGGCGGGGGGGTGTCAAAGTCATATTATGCCCATGCATTATGCAGGATCAGCAGCAACCAAGGGGGGTGCAGGGATTAGCAGTAACAAAGGAAAGGAATGTTAATGATATGTAGCTGCAGTTACTCAACAACCACGTAGAAAACTAAAGTATAAACTACATAAAAAACTAAAGTATAAACTGCATCGCACCATCAGTATACTTACTATACTCTATAATAAGCTGAGTTACTAACAGCAAGTAATACATTACAATTTTACCTCGTAAAAATTCTATAATATGCTTCCATCTAAACCTTATTCTCTTACATCACACGAGCATATACCGTACTATATACTGCCATAGATAAACCCAACATTAAATTATATACTGTATTGCTGTAAACCAACATATCTTATACATTTAATATCACACTATGTATTATTCTACACACCCTAATGTGTATCGAAATGGTTTATTACGTCCTTCCAATGATTGCTGAGCCAGAATCCATCTTCTCGGTTAAAGTTGTCTCTGTGTTTGTATATGTGGATCGCCTCATGAACGAATCTCTCATGATAGCCAGATGGCTTGCAGAGAACCTCTGTCTTGGAGAAGTCAATATCATGTGAGCCCACTGAGTTGTAACAGTGATCTGCCACGGCTGAGGTGTTAGTCCTACCGTGTTTCAGGTCAGCTTTATGTTCACGGATGCGGTCCGAGACATGTCGTTTGGTTTCCCCAATGTAACTGCTACCACAGAGGCAACTTAGTTTGTAGACGCCAGGGTACTGTATGTCTGGAACCACATCTTTTACAGACGGTACCAGATCACGGATTTTATGTACTGTGTTGAATCGGACCTGGATCTTGTGTTTAATCAGGATTTTGGAGATCTTTTTTGTGACCCCAGCAATGTAGGGTAAGGTGATGGTCTTGAAAGGCTCCTCAACAGGATCCTTCTTGATGGTTGGAGTGATGGCTTTGCGGATTGTATAGTCGGAGTAACCATTTGCCTTAAGAGCTTGGCGTACGTGTTTGAGTTCACTGGAAATGTGTTCATGGTCGGAGATGCATTGGGCTCTATGATATAGAGTCTTGATGAGGGAATTCTTCTGAGATGGATGGTGGTGGGAATCCGGTTTTAGATAAGCATCCGTGTGGGTGGCTTTCCTGTAGACAGAGTGGCTCATTGAACCATCAGGTCTCCTTTTGATTAGGACATCCAAAAAGGGTAGCTTGCCATTATTTTCGACTTCCATGGTGAATCTGATGGCTGGGTGTATGGAATTGATGTGGTCGAGAAATTGGTCTAGAGCAGGCCGGCCATGTGGCCAGATGACAAAAGTGTCGTCTACGTACCTCTTCCATAAGGTCGGGCGTAGAGTGGCAGACAAGACACTCTACAAATCACACTTATCTTTGAGTGTAACAATGTCCACATCGGATTGGGAACATGTGGAAAAAATGACTGCCTCTTCAGCTGCCGCTATGTCGACTAAATGTAAGGACAACTTGATTTCCAAATTCAATCGCCTCTCAAACAAGAAACCGGACCCACACATTGAAAAGCTAGATATTAACAAAGTCGTAATTAATCGCAGTAACAGTCCTATTTCTGAAGGTTTGAAATCCGTTTTAGCTAAAGGACTAAACTTTGCAGTCACACCTAGACACATACCAGTTAATGATATAATTGCTCGAGTAGATGTAGCTCTCAAGGGCTTGAGTCACATCGCTGCAGACGTAGCAAGATCCGAAATCTCTGTAACCCTCAAAAACGCTAAGATGCCAGCTAGCAACATCAGCAAAGAGGAGCGTTTTGAATTAGCTCAATTAAAAAAGAGGGATGACATTGTCATCCTCTCAGCCGACAAAGGCAATGCCACTGTCATCATGGACAAAATAGAATACAACAACAAAATTCAAGAACTACTAAACGATGGCAGCTATACAAAAATAAAAAGAGACCCCACCAACAGCCTCGTCTCCAAAACCAACAACATCATTTCTGCTTCAACCGCATTAATTGATCAGACCAAACAGTTCTCGTTGAAACCTTCTGCAGCCAGACCACCAAGATTGTACGGCTTGCCAAAGATACATAAAGAAGATACACCTCTTCGTCCCATTGTCTCTACTATCAACTCCCCCACTTACAAACTGGCTCGTTTTTTGTCCGAAATCCTACGGCCTTTCACTGGAAAAACCACCTCTGCAGTACTAAACTCTACTGACCTGGTATCGACAATCAAGGGGATTGCCCTGTCCCCAGACGACCTGCTTGTCAGTTTTGATGTGGTTTCCTTGTTCACCAAGGTACCTGTGCCTGACACCATCGCAATCATTGAAGACTTGGTTCATCAAGGACTGAATGCTGGGGTACCCCCCCTGGTGAGACACTGCTTAACCAATACATACTTCACCTGGAATGGAACCTTCTACAAGCAAATTGAGGGCACCCCAATGGGCTCCCCCCTATCTCCGGTTGTAGCCAACATCTTCATGGAGAAATTTGAGACGGACGCCATCCAGACTGCCACTCTACGCCCGACCTTATGGAAGAGGTACGTAGACGACACTTTTGTCATCTGGCCACATGGCCGGCCTGCTCTAGACCAATTTCTCGACCACATCAATTCCATACACCCAGCCATCAGATTCACCATGGAAGTCGAAAATGATGGCAAGCTACCCTTTTTGGATGTCCTAATCAAAAGGAGACCTGATGGTTCAATGAGCCACTCTGTCTACAGGAAAGCCACCCACACGGATGCTTATCTAAAACCGGATTCCCACCACCATCCATCTCAGAAGAATTCCCTCATCAAGACTCTATATCATAGAGCCCAATGCATCTCCGACCATGAACACATTTCCAGTGAACTCAAACACGTACGCCAAGCTCTTAAGGCAAATGGTTACTCCGACTATACAATCCGCAAAGCCATCACTCCAACCATCAAGAAGGATCCTGTTGAGGAGCCTTTCAAGACCATCACCTTACCCTACATTGCTGGGGTCACAAAAAAGATCTCCAAAATCCTGATTAAACACAAGATCCAGGTCCGATTCAACACAGTACATAAAATCCGTGATCTGGTACCGTCTGTAAAAGATGTGGTTCCAGACATACAGTACCCTGGCGTCTACAAACTAAGTTGCCTCTGTGGTAGCAGTTACATTGGGGAAACCAAACGACATGTCTCGGACCGCATCCGTGAACATAAAGCTGACCTGAAACACGGTAGGACTAACACCTCAGCCGTGGCAGATCACTGTTACAACTCAGTGGGCTCACATGATATTGACTTCTCCAAGACAGAGGTTCTCTGCAAGCCATCTGGCTATCATGAGAGATTCGTTCATGAGGCGATCCACATATACAAACACAGAGACAACTTTAACCGAGAAGATGGATTCTGGCTCAGCAATCATTGGAAGGACGTAATAAACCATTTCGATACACATTAGGGTGTGTAGAATAATACATAGTGTGATATTAAATGTATAAGATATAGGTTGGTTTACAGCAATACAGTATATAATTTAATGTTGGGTTTATCTATGGCAGTATATAGTACGGTATATGCTCGTGTGATGTAAGAGAATAAGGTTTAGATGGAAGCATATTATAGAATTTTTACGAGGTAAAATTGTAATGTATTACTTGCTGTTAGTAACTCAGCTTATTATAGAGTATAGTAAGTATACTGATGGTGCGATGCAGTTTATACTTTAGTTTTTTATGTAGTTTATACTTTAGTTTTCTACGTGGTTGTTGAGTAACTGCAGCTACATATCATTAACATTCCTTTCCTTTGTTACTGCTAATCCCTGCACCCCCCTTGGTTGCTGCTGATCCTGCATAATGCATGGGCATAATATGACTTTGACACCCCCCCGCCCAACGCCTACGCATTTTCCATGAATATGCTAAATCCCTCTTCACATGCACATTCTTTTTGTTAAGGCGCTCTTCAACCCCCAATGCAGCTTATATATAAGCTCCTAGTTTGGTAGTGTCTCATTCTTCACCTGAAGACGGCTGCTTGCGTTGTAGCCGAAACGTCGTGAGAATTGTTTAATTATGTTTTATTTTTATTATTTTATTACTTCCCTTCTACGTGACTTTACCGAAAGAAACAAGAAGATGAATCCCTGCAGTCACGAAAGCTTTAAATCGAAAAATATTGTAAATGCATTATCCTCAAGCACTATGATTACACAATCGAATCTGTAAATTACAAAAACACCAATCGCACAACAAAAACGTTTATGTAAGCTGAAAACAGATGTAACCAACATAGAGGTGAGCACTGCATGTACCAAAGCCCTTGGCTTTATCCAGAAAAAAAACTGGGTAGGTTAAAATGTCACCGGGGAGACTGAGAGATTTTGCAGGATAGCTGCTGCCTCAACAAGGAGACGATCCTGGAAAATCCGGGACAGGTGGCAACCCCTCGAGACCACCCCGAGGAGCCCCACCCCACCCCCAACAAGAGCGAGGCGCATGCTTCTTTGTAAACCAGCTACACTTTTATTGGACAAACAAATAAAACGAAATACGCAGTACAAACCTCTCAACAGACTAATGAAACAGTGCATTTCAGGGAGAGAAAAATAAAACGAAATAAAATGAAAAACAAATAAAAGACGACAGACGAAGGCAGCGAGAGCGAGCGACGTTGCCCAGGTGGTGCCGGGACTGCGAGGCGGTGGTGAGCACGTGGAGTGGGGGTGGTGGGGGTGGTGGGGGCGGCGAGCGTAGCGGGGCGGTAAGCGAGTCTGGCAGGCGGCAAGGAGCCACAGACAGGAAGAGATCAGCGATTCACAGTTCAAGAACGCCTGGCACACAACCCCTAGAGCTCACCAGGGGAATACGGCGCAAACGCACACACGTGGTCCGCCTACCACCACCCAGTCCCGGGCTGTAACCAGGACGTTGGGAATTTAGATTTAAGAAATGTGACATTGCAGGATTGTTCTGCAAGGTAACAGCCAGGGCTTATTTTCAGCCGGCTCTGTCGAGGTCAGCAAGAAGGAAAATATTTCTGTACCCCAGAACACCACATTCAGAATACCTCTCGCTATGGCTATACTAGTGACGTGCCTACTCCAGTCTGCCAGCGAGCCAGAAAATATTTGGTGAGAAATTAATCCCTGGACGCAACCGAACTTCGGAGCGGACGCCAAATTTGAAAGCTTTCCTCCCACGGCGGTCGGACGCATGTCGCACCCCAGTAGCACCAGCCCTTCTCCGCCCCCGCGGCTATTCCCCCCCGCCGCCTTCACTTCACACGCACGAAGCGACGAGCGAGCGAACGTACGAACGGGACAACGTGCAGCCCGCACGCCGCTCAGCTCCACACGCGCGGCCCCGACAAGGCACAGTTACTGCAAGTCCCCCGCAAAACACCAGCCACGCGTGTGGGGGGTGGGGATAAGTGGGACGGCGCTACACGTTAAGAGGGGAGTTCAACATCTACCACCGCCACTGTTCCCGCTGCACAATCGTTTGAGACACCAAGCACCCACCCGGACTCACACACCGGCTCCCCCCCCGCCTGCCACCTAACACCACTCGCCAACCCACTCGGGGATGCCACCGCGCCACCGACCAAACCCGCCTTATGTACAAGTTCATCTCAGGCCGATGGTTTCACAGCCACGCAGAGAAGCACTCGCTGGAGGCAACGAGCAATGAACAGTTTAATACGACACAGCGATAGCGGCGAGAGAGAGAGCGAAACATGCGGCGCTTGCCCACGCCGGCCTACTCAGCGCTGCACGGGCAGGAGCTATTTAACACTGTACATGTCTGTTTAAATATTCAGTTAAGAATGATCATCTCCGAAATTAAAAACAAAACAAAAAATTATAACGACACACCCAAGGAAGCGAGAGAGAGATGAGAGCACAGCACCCGGAAGTTGGGAAGGCGGAACCGGGGGTTGGTGGGGGGCCGGCACGTCGAGAGAGGAGGGGGGGGGCGAGCAAGAGCGAGAAGACCCGTGGCTCGTTTGCTGGGCCAGCAGTGCCGCCAGCGCCGACACGACGCATGGAGAGGCCGTAACGCACTGCGATAAGACAACAGCAGCAAGCCACCCACCACACGAGACGCGGTAAACCCTGCGCCCCTGCACGCGGAGCGGGGGCAGACTCCTGCGTGCGGAGGGGTGCGGACGGATGGACGAGCGGATGGGCGGGCGGGCGATCCACGGGGCGACTTCTATCGCCGTTGGGCAGGGAATCGGGGATCCCCCTGGCCACCCCGCCCCCCGCCACGCGGGAAAAAGCCCCCGGCTCCGGCGCCGCCGCCCCTGGGGGACGCACCGCCCCCCCAGCCTTCGCGGGGTCCCCCGCCGCCACGGGGACCCAGGCCTCCAGGCCCCCCTCCGCCACGGGCGCCGCCAGGCCCCCCCCCGCCGCCGCCGCGGCGTCCCTCCAGCGAGCGCCACTCGCCGTCGCGGGCGACGCGAGATTTCTTCTCCTCCACGTTGAGACGAACTTCCCCGCGCAGCAGCACGGGCTGAGCACGCGGACACAACGAGGGGCAAGGCTCATTCATCGTCATTAGCCAAAGTCTATCCACTGCTAGATATCTCCCACGGTCTCACGATGCAGCAATTCGTGTAGCTTCCGCACTCGAGCCGATTCCACAGAGCCGACCAGCAGCCACACAGCCCACCCACCTACCAGTCCTGCTCGCCCACCCACTGGCCCAGCTACCCACCCACTCGCCCACCCACTCGCCCAGCTGCCCACCCACTGGCCCAGCTGCACACACACACACACCCAACCAGCTGCACACACACACACCCAACCAGCTGCACACACACACACACAACTAGCTGCACACACACCCAACCAGCTGCACACACACACACCCAACCAGCTGCACACACCCAACCAGCCGGCCACCCACTGGCCACCCACCCTCCCGTACCTTAGAGGCGAGCACGCTCTGCACGGCGTCGGGCTCCTGGAAGATGACAAAGCCGAAGTTGGGAAGCTTGCTGCCGCTGCCGCTACTCTTGGTGTTGATGCGCAGGTCGACGACGTGTCCAAACGCTGGCGGTGTGAGACGACGGGAGGGGAAGGGCAGAACATGGTGGTGGATATTAAGGATGGACCAGTGGTGCCAATGGTCAGCGCGTCGCACTGCGACTCTGGCAATCCCAAATTCTATTCCCGACCATGGCTAGCATCAGTCAGGCGAGCGATTATGCCTACTGACTGTTCACCAACGTGCACTGACCAACGTGAAGTATGGTCAAAAAACCTCCATTACCCAGAAAGGGGCTGTGAATTAGGGATGCAGTGATGCATCATGACATCAGTAGGGATAAAATATACCATCACGCCTCGACACATCTCTGACTAGCCTCAGTCAACATAACATCTCCATCGAACTGTGCTGCACCCACTTATACTGCTGAGTGGACCAGGGGGCGGGGGAATTAATGAACTGCCACGCCGGCAGATTGAACCAAACTGCCAAACCTCTGGATTGCGAGTCGAGCGTGATCACGGTTACAGCGCTGTGGCAGCGTCACGTCCCCCACCTCTACTCCCAACCAACGTTAAAAAGAGAACTTAAAATTCTCGACTGGGAAAGCGGAGCTCACTCATGAAGAAGTCCCGCAGCTCGGCCTCCTCGATGTCGTGCGGGAGATTCCCCACGAAGATCTGCTGGGAGTCCGGGTAGCGTGCCGTGGTCGGGCGCCGTGGCTCAAACTCCTGATTCCCGTCACCCCCCTCTGCACGCTCGCACAATATAAACAAAGACACACGCGCACATACGCGCACACAGACAAACACATACAACAAGACACATGCAAACACAAAGCACGCTCCATTAGTCTAAATGCAACAAGTACATCAATTACATGTCAGAAGTTAGAAGTGTATTTCTCGAGTAAAGCCCATTGAGCTAAGAAGCCTTTTTCAAGGGTGACTTCGATGACAGACAATATCAGAGCATTCCTCAATTATATTTTAAAAACAAACACACTTAATCATAGCAATTATGATGTCAAATTATATTCACACTTAAATAAGGACAGAGATGGCAGAATGGAGATGCCAGGAGACAAAAATAGGTGGCTACCCAACTTTGGGGCAGCCACATTAAGCGCTTTGCATAAACCAGAATTCATCTGAAGCATGAAAAATTAGTGCAAGAATCTATTTTGATTGACGAATCGACATGCATAGTTGTTGCATGGTGACTGGTGTTACCAGGGCGAGGGGTGCGGGGTGGCCCCCCAGCACGGTCCCGTGGGGGCCCCCCCCCTCGACCGCGAGAGAGGAGTGGGACAGGTCCAGTCCCCGCCTGCTCGGTCTTCACCTCCACTCTTGGCTGAGACGCTGGCTACACAAGTGCAGAGGCGCGCACAAACAGATCCCAACACAGACACACACAAAATATATCAGTCCTTCATTAAATACATAATAGGGGCAAGTGATGTCAAGTGAGTACATTTTTCAATAGAAGGGAAATTTGTGTGTCTGTTCAAAATGTTTAGCATACTTCCCAACATGCAACAAACTTGAAATTCGGCATGTGGGTAGCTTCCAGACTGTCCACAATGCAAAAAGTATACAAATAGATTTTTGCATTTTGGGGGGGGGGGGGGGGCACAATAATGTATATATTTTGCACGGCAAGTGAGCGGCGACGTCACATCTGTGATGTCTCCCGCATGCGGCAGCGTCACGCAGTGTGCCTGCTGACGTCACGCAGTGTGCCTGCTGACATCACGCATCCCCCACCCGGGTAGTAAAGCTCGCTTTACATGAATAAGCTACAAATAACTCTAAATCCGTTCAAGTCCCCTGTAAATCACATGCCTTGTGTATGGCAACTCTGAACTTCATCCTCCCTTCTCCCCGCCGCCCGTTGTGAAAACACGCTGCCACTCCCTCTCCGTGCAGCAGCAGCAGCAGCGTCGAGGTCCTCATGCAGCCTCACCCTCCTCCTCCCCCATCCTCCTTATCTCTCCTGGCCCTCTGCTCCTGTTTACTCTATTCGGTTCCCATCATTTTCCTCTCATTGCGAATTTGTGTTTAAGGAAACACTCCTTCTTAAGTGAACACTCATTGTTAAGTGAACGCTTGTGTCGGGGCCATGCCTGTAACGGAGCCTGAGGAGCCTTCATCACATAGGGGGTGACTCCTCCGGATGGCGCCCCCACTCCTCCGGGTGGCAGGTTTTTGCTTGTCACCGACGCCCATGAGTTCGTCTGCATACGTGCGCGCAAAAAAAGAGTCATCATTATCATCATCATCGTAATCATCTGCCATGACCTATCCACTGGTGGACGAAGGGCTCCCCAGGCCGTTGTCGTGGTGTGTCTGGCTCGTGCCTACGAGATGGTTTCTTTGCTTCACCTCCGCTGTGGACGTCCTCTCAGGCGTTTCCTGCGTTGGCTACCGCTCCGCCGTTCATCTCGACCACTGCCCTTCACCACGTCGAGCGGATGCGTCCTGCCCAAGCCAACTGAGTCCGCCTTAACTCTCAGTGTGATGTCTCTAACTCGCGCGTTCTCCACTCCATGTGTTCCTCTGTCCATCTCCGTGTAATTCCAAGCAAGCAATTCCCATGCACCTTCGTGCACTTTTTAGATTTAGTTCCATTATCTTTGTCAATGTCCGTGTTTCCAATCGTACATCAAAGTGGGCAATATCAATCAAGTCTGTATTTCTATAGCACCATTTAGTGCAAAGGATGCCATTCAAAGTGCTGTATAAAACATATCAAAATGAAATGCAAATGATTGATTTGACTCAATGAATGGTCGCATCCCCAGCGACAGCGCAGCAGTGGGACCCACCTCGGGCGGCTTGTGGGGGGCTGGTGGGGGCTCGACAGGCTGGCACGGGGAAGGGGGTTTTGCTTCCGGTTTCTCCGGCGTTGTCCCCTCCGTTTCGTCCCTCCAATGGCCAGTGCCGTCCGTATCTAGGCTGTCAGGGGACCCTCTCGTCCTCCTCCGGACTGCCCCCTTCCACGTCCCCGTTCCCCTCCACACCGCCCGGGGATTCGGGCTCCGCCCCAGGACCAGCGATGCCACCGCCCGGCGCCGCCTCCAGGTGAGAGGTTAACTCCTCCTGCTCAACGACCTCCGTACTGCTGCTCGTACGCAAACAACATAACCGGAAAACATCAACAAATTCACACGCGCACGCGCACACATACACCACCGATATCACCACCCCTGTACCATGCACATCACCACCCTCACACCATTGACATCACCACCAGCACACGGACATCATCATCTGCAAATCAACATCGTCACGCACCTGGGCGGAGTTGTGTCCTGAATGAAGGGGGCAGGAGCCGGAGGCTCTGGCTGGATAATCTCTTGCTCCTCCTCACCCTCCTCCACCTCCTCTCCCGACTCTGTTGTTAGCCCACGCACACAAGCACACACTCATCATAATGTGTTTCCACAAAAACAAGGAGCACGAGTACATAGTCAACTTACCCCCACCCTGGTATCCACTCTCCATGTTTTTCAAACGCAAGTTCGATGAGAATGCAAATTCTGCCGGATGATTTTGCTCCACTTGCTGGCCCAGATTCCAACATCAGAATTCCGACGTCGATATTCAGGCAAAGTGGAAATATTGCCCCTTGGCACTTCTTTTCTAAGTATTCAGACTCCTCACGATGATTGCCAATTTTATGCAAGAGCCCAAATTCTCCTGGAAGGTTTCACTTGTCAGGCTTGGCCTGGATGTCCGAATTTGTCCAATGCCAGAATATGCCCAATGCATGATGATCCAAGTGTTGTAGGCAGCTTAAAAAAAAGTTATTTTATATTCATAGTAGTAACATGCCCAACTGTGTGCAGGGTGGTGAGTTGCCCAACTCACGTGATAATTGAAGTAACCAGAAAATCATGGTAATGCCACTTTCTTTTAAACCAACTCCGGCTGTCCTTCATCTCAGCTTGCCAGTCCACTCAAGTCAACTCAATTAGTTCATGAACACAAGGTCTGAGGTAGAATCAGGCCGACTCGAGGTGGCCGTCCAAAGAACACGAGGTTCAAAGACACAGCTCCGAATTACACACACACAGCGGCGGTGGCAGCGATCGACAAATCCAGACGGGCCCGGGCGGGCGTAAACGCCACACGATACCTTCGGCAGCTTCTGTGTCAGAGTCGAGGAACACCTCATCCTGGTAGCGGAACATGTCATTGTGAACGTAGAACTTGTTTGGCACCGATCCCTGTGTGAGATAAGATAAAAAATAGTAAACACTCACCCACACACGCCGATACAAACACACGAGCCTGAGGCCATAAACACTGGGCAGTTATCCAGCACGCGAGTGCAAGCGGCGTGCAAGCGTGCGATGGGCGAGTGGGAGGAGCGAACTTGCCGTGTGAGAGAGGTACGCAAATGGCGTTTGTGTGCCGTGTGGCTATGAGCGAAGATGCATGCGTGTACGGCATATACGCTGCGATTATGGGTGCGAGCGGTAAATGCAGTGTGTTGCGTATGCCGTGTACGGGTGGTATGTGTACGTATGTGTTGTGCGTGGCATATATGTGGTGCATACAAGTATGAGGGGTATAGGCAAAGTGTGTGCTGTATATGCTGTGAAGGTGTTTGTGGTATGTACAGAGTGTGTGTCCAATGTACATGCTGCATTTGCGTGTAAGTGGTATTTACTTGGGGTGTGTGTGTGTGTAGTGTTTACTCTGTGTATGGGTAGGCATGGTGTGTGTGCACTGTGTGCGCTTTGACCAGTGCTCACTGGGAACCTACCTCTGGCGCCAGCACGAAGGTCTGCATGAAGCGTCGCATGGGCTGCCCGGCATTGGACAGCTCTCCCATCACCTGCACCATGGATGGATGCAGTCGAGCGGTCATACGAGTAGTGGTTTTACATTACCACAATTTATATTTTGGTGTTTGCACTACACTTCAATGCCTGGAACCAGACGTGGAAAACCTGCGACTTAATGGCCAAATCTATTTCATACGGCCAACAGCCACATGCAGTCTATAACTTTGAAACATCCCACAAACAATATTTATCCACCACTACGAGTATCTTAGCCATACTCATTTGGTACTCGGGAGGACTATTTTCCGCCTGGAAAAATGCATTACTAATTTTAAGCGTTCTCAGTCACCGAATGTATTTGGAGCTCTGTGCGGTCAATGCTGACAACGCTACACTATCAAGATTTCGTGTCTACTAATGTGTGGCCCCGACCACATGCATTGGAAAGTCCGGTTCGGCCCTCAGTAAAGGCAAGGTTCCTCAGGCCTGATTCAACCAACATCAACAAAAACTCTTATGGGTGCCCATTTTAACATAAATGTATAATTTAATGAAACATGCCAGTCTTCATTAAAGAGTTTTACAACAGTACCAGTGAATTAAAGAATATGGCATGACGGTGTACCCATACCAGCAGGTGTGGTGACATATGCCACAAATCCAATGCTTTGTAGCAAGAGTTGGTGGATAACACAGATAACCATGTTCTGTGAGACGACTAACCTGCTGAGGTGCACATTTACCAAGGAGATGGTAGTACAGAAAGTGGGTACATGACGAGTGAGTGTGGACTCCAGTGTTATCTCCTCTCGGTGTGGATTTTTTTTCCAATTTAGAAATCTTCTTCTCTACCCAAACACTTCTTAACAAGGAATTAACCAAACATCCCAATCTAGCAGGGCCCTCCTGAACAAGAATCTTGACTCATATTCTTTGGGTCTTTCCTGCCTCAGCAGCTCTCCCGCTATATATTTTTCGCCTGATTTGAATTGCTTGTGTTGCGATCGAAACGTCGTGATATTTGTATTATTTTTCCATCTACGTGGCTTTACCGAAAGACCCAAGGAATATAAATTCCTGCAGTCACAAAAGATGTAAGTCAAAATCTTGACTCAATTTGGCTTTCCTGGATAAATGATACGAATGTATATATATTCAAGAAAAACCTATTATCTTGCTGATAGGCATCTAGGTTGTGTGTCCCAGCCTGCCCAACATGAGTTTAAACCTTCATTAAAGGGAATTTCACTTTTAAGTGACTTTCACGTGTACTCTAGTGAAATCATTAAAAAAATTAACGAGCTGATGTCTCACTAGCACAGCCACCAGTTGCGCGTTGGTTCGTTTACATGCTAATCTCTCACAATACAATGGCCACCTCCACAGCTGAGTCGTCGTCGTGGAGGTACATCACCGATCTGACATTTACAATCAAATTACACCTCTAGCCCTGCCCACTTACCCTTGGGCTGAGTCCATCTGAAGCCTAAAAAACTTCGTGTTTCAGCAGCTCTCCCATTGTATTTTCTCCTGCCTTGGTAGCTTTCTCGCTATATTTTTCACCTGATGACGATCGCTTGTGTTGCGATCGAAACGTTGTGATAATTTTATTATTTTTATATCTACATGGCTTTACCGACAGACCCAAAGAATATAAATCATTTCATGCTAGACTAGTTTGGCATTTGCATTGCAATGATGTCAGAAGCATGTACCCCTCACTCCACGTTCTCCTTGAAACTAGAACTCGGGGCCGAAATCCAGGTATGGCTTCTCCTCACCTGTACCACAACTCCATCCCCGAGCGAGGCGAGAGCGTCGACATGTCGTATCTTGGTGTGACAGTCCCGAAATCCTAGCGACATCACCTTCTTGTGAATTTCCTGCCGAGCACAAAGCCAAAGATCCCCCGTACAGACTTAACACACTGTTGGGTAAAGTTATGTTAGTGAGCACCTAAGAATGCTGGCACTGTGCACAATGCACCACTGCCTTTGTCTCCCCGGTGCTGAATTTTACAGATTGCACCAGGTTTCTCATTTAAGGCTGAGTCAGGCCTAGTGGAGGCTCAAGACCGGTTTAAATAACTGCTACTGATGTTGGCCATTGCCGGAAATCGAACACAGGTCAATGGGTTGAGAACTGCGCAAACCACTACACTGCTCAACACCGACATAAAAACAACACACACACAAAAAGCAAAGTGTGGTGAACACGTGTGTGTGTGTGCGTGGATGCCAGAGCCGAGTTGGCATCGCCTGTGTGCTCCCCGGTGGCTGCTGGCGTTTGGCTCACCGCTTGCCCAATGACGGCCTCGGCGGGCTGTCCGTTGGCGTCCAGCCCGCCATGTACGTAGGTTGAGTTCTTGCCATAGAACCTTCAACAAAGCGCAACACAACAGCAGCAGTTAAGGCATCTACAGAAAAACCCTCCATGGCGGGGCCTATTTTCAAAGTGGCCACCAATTGTCAATGGTAACCATAGCTCTGTATCAAACACGGTAACCTTTGTAGCTGTTGTTCTGTACCTTGTAACACTACGCCGTATACGTACATAAATGCGCCTTCGATTAGCAGTTGGCTAAGAACGGCGTAAAATAAGTTCAACATACACATACATACATGACGGAGCCATATGGTTAATGGTAAATTTAATTAAAATAGGCCCTGCTCCATGGTATTCCAAGAACTGTCACGACTTGAATGGAGATACGATTTAAGCATATATTCCTTTCGTCTCAAGTTTTTTGTCTTGTTTACTCCGTTAGCCTAAATGTAACACCACTCTATTGTTTCAATGTAATTTGGTTACATCGTAAGAAATAAACTTAATTTGAAGCTTTCGTGACTGCAGAAATTACTCTTTGGTTCTTTCAGGTAAAGTCATGGTAAGAAATACATTGGCCCATGCACAATTTGATGCATGTATTGGGAAGGTAAGAAACTATTTAAATTTAGATAGAAGCACTTTATTACATACTTGATTGTTTTTGTATTTTCTTCCAATTACATCCCGATTGTGCTATCACTGTCATTTCTTGAGACAAATAATTAATTTGGAGTTCTCGCAGAGTAATGCAATCCTCCATAGTAGAGGCAAATGGATATCACAAGAGCTACCTCTGAGATTAATTTAAGCACACTCAAAAGGGGGTTAGTAATTTCCTACCCACTTTGCCACTGTTCATGAGATGACAATAAAACCACCTTTTAAATTCTCAGAGCTGAAACCGATTCCATATAAAGTGCAGATTCAAACGTAATATGATGTGCACGGGTCACCAGGTTGAGCCAATTGTGAACCCAGTTTAATCACAGGGTGTTGACTGGATTTGAACCCAGGACCAAGTTCAGTGCTTTAACCTCTGAGCCACTGGAATACCTCTTTGCCTATTAGTTTTATTGGGGGCAACACTAAGTAATCATCATCCTAATCATCAACTTAATGGCACCAATTTACAACGCAATTATTAATGCACAACCTCCAAAAAACACAATTTCAGATGTGCCAAGAACCAATTATTTATATTTTTCCAGCTCTGCCGAAGCCCTGAGTGAGTGGTGAAAATTCTACTTTGTTGTGGCAAGGGAAAGTTACGCCATCGGACAAGGACTCTTGACTTTGCAGAAAACAGTACCAGTTTTATCTAACACCATAGGCAACGATTAAATCCCTGTATGGGATTTTGAACTCGCAACCTACCAATCGTGCATTCAGGTTCAATAGTTGATTTGCTTTCAATGTCAGAAAATAAAGCGAACCAAACCTAAAAGTCAAATGTTGCAATGCGGAGGTGGAGACAATGTTTGGGGTGCAGCACACTAGTCTTGACACAAACCAACAAGTAACCTTAACTCTACCTCTAACCAACCAGCCATTAAGACTAACCCTAACTCAACCCCTAACCAACACCCCAACAGGAACGCGCCATCTCACCACAACCCTACCCCAAGGACGTCAAGACACTTCATTAAGGAGGGCCCCCTATTAATTTCTGTTTTTAAATTGTTGCTGTTTGCGACGCCAACCGGACGGACCACGCAAACAACGGTCTGTATTCAGGACGCATGGCTGAGGCAGCTCTCTCCTACACCGAAGGAACAATTAAGCATAGCCCACAGTACCACTGATGCTGTAACATCAGAAAATTGTACACCACTGCCTGCTTCAATCATTCACATTTCATATATTCACGAGGCTGAAACCGTGTCAGTTTCAGTCTATGGGTATCTATGTAAATGTGAATCGTCATGCGAGTTCAACCCAAACCACAGAGCACACGAGTTCTAGCTTCAATCATGCATATCTAGGGGTCTATTAATTGCGATGAGACTATATCTTAAACCATAGGCAATATAGTAATGCCAATGCACAAATCCATCCTTTTCTGGCACAATATCAGACGTAGTATTTACCAGGCTACTCCTGAAGCCATCCACTGGCTCACCCATCAACCTCGACATGAACACACAAACAATGCCGCTCAACTCCCTGTAAAACAAAAGTAGAACAAAAACCCTGGACGGACCACACACATGCACACACTTCTGATGAGCACACTTCTGACAAATTCACCACAGCTGTCACGGGACTCGGCTTCCGCAGGGTGCCGAACTCTGCTGGACGGCTGGGCGCGCACCTGTGCAGATAGTCGGGCGCCTGGTTGAGCAGGGTGTAGTACTGCCGCACGAACTCCCGCCCAACCAACTGCGGACTTGGCCTCTCCATCACCATCTCTCGTCTCGCGTGCACAGCCGCTCACAGGAACTGTCGCGCACTTGGGGCGAGGGGGAATAAATAAAAACATCACTCTCAAATGCATATTCAAGATCCGTATACGCCAACTACGGAATGTCTTCTCGTATCGTCACCTCTGATGTTCACGTCCAATTTTACCTTCTCTACCGTTCCAAAAAAACTGCCCGACCCCTCGTTAACTGCCTCCACCACCAGCCGCGTGCTCCCCTCACCCTCAGCGGCTGCGAGATCCGCCTCGCGTCTTTCGCGCATTTCCCCTCCACATCCCCAACCATCATTTTATCTCGGCTGCGGAGATAAATCGCTGCCTCCATCTCCCCGATCTCCCCCAGCTAAATCCTAAATCATATTCCTGTCTCGTTCCCTCCTATTGTCACAAGGTCCCCTTCTCATTCAACTCCCTCGGTCATTATAGCCTCCATTTCCTTTGCTATTGATCATCTCTCCAACATCTCCCGTCGGTCATTCCATATCTCCACGTTTCTGACATCGTCACTGCAGTCTTCTTTCGCAACCATCATCTCCTTGTCCCCTCATCCCCCTTTAACTGTGCACGTAGTCCCAATCTGTCCATCTCGAGTCACCCCTTTCTCCCCCCATCATCTTCGAGTCCGTCGCAACTGCCCATGTTTTGTCGTATCCCTCCATCTGCATCACCTCTCCATACCATAAATCCATTTCCTCTGCAATTACAATCTAGAATTCCTCCAGCGTTATCACGTCCCCAACGCAACGTCCCCTCTCCATCTCCTCCCGCTCGTGCCGTCTCCCCACCAGCCACCCTACCCCGGCCTCTCGACATCCCAGCCACGTTTCTCTCACCCCTCCTCCATCTGCATGCTCCCCACTCCCGGCAGCGCATCCCTTCGCCTCTGCCATCTCCCGCTAGTCGCCCCGTCCTCCCCGACGGCCCCGCGAGTCGAGAGCGCTGCGGACATCTCCCCACGGCGCCGCCTTCCCTCGCGACCGAGCGGCAACCGCGCCATCTCTAGGCCCCGCGGTAGGCCTCGCCAAACCCCGCTCTCGCATGACGACCCCGCGCCGCCGTCCACGGCGCGGGGTCCGGTGGCGCCTCCAGCCGAGACCGGGGGGCCCGAGCGCCTCGCCCATGCGCGATAGGCCGCGCCTGCGGGTTCGCGGCTCCCGCCTCGCGCTTCGGTCCGTTTCACGGTGCCGCGGCCACGGCTCGGGAAACGCGCAAGGGGGTTGCCCGGAGGGGGAAAAAACCCGACCCCGAGTTGGGAGCGAGGGGAACGCGGCGAGCGACGAGGGGGACGCGGGGAACGCGGGAATCGCCTCACCGAGCGGGGCCGAGTTGCGGCAACAGCGGCGGCGGCGGCACAAAGCGGCGGGACGCATGCGCAGAACGGCCCAGGCCGGGCACCCGTGGGGCCAAGCCCGGGAAACCCCGTGCAGCACAGGTGTGTGGGGGGCGGGGGTCAGGAGATGGGCTGGGGCGAAGGGAGGGACGCGAAGGGCTTCAACGCAGAGAAACAGGGAATTGGTTTGGAGAGGTGATTTATTTACATAGCATATCAATAATAACATAATGTATCTATCTATTTGGTTAGTTGGTGCATTAGTACAAATAACAAAAAAAGCTCAACACATTCATCAATAACATCGTGGCCTTAACATTTAACTTCTAATAAGTGACGTTTCGGGCAATGGCCCTCCTTCAGTGCACATGAAGAGAGAGGTCAGCAGAGAGAGAGTAGATACGAGAACGTGACATTTTGCCTGCTGCTATACAGAAAATGTGTAATAGTCCAGGGCATGCATCGTTGGACAAGGCTCGACTTCGTTGAGTCTTATCAGCAGCTGTGCCTTGCTGACCCAATGGACATCTGTGAAAAGGAGTCCTCCTGCAATCTAAATAAAGATTCGGATTCTGACCATCGTTTTCACGCACTCATCAGTCATCCGTGGTTATATTTATTTACACAGTAGCTGCAAGTCGAGCCAAAGTGTCACTGTAGCCACCCCTGAGCCTGAGATGGAAATTCCACGTTCCTCTGGTGATAAAGTCTCGCGAAGATACAGTGGTTTTGATACTGACGGTTGTAGGGCTTTGTGGCTGGTGCAACATCAATGCATATAACATGGGATCAATAATTAAAACGAATCACACAATCTGGCTGCGTATACAAAATCCTATCCTCTAATTTCAAAACCATATAATTATTTACTACTGTATGATTATATGTGATTACCCAGAAAAGCCTCGATCAGTTTCAACTCTTTTTCAGGAGGGCTTTGATAAGTTTTGATTTTATTTCAGTAGGGGGCGATATTGCCACGCGTGATCCCCACCAAAGTTGCCTGCAGGTCACTTCTCAGCATCGCGATGTTTGGCCAATACCGGTGACATTGTAGGTTGGGTTTTTTTAGCTATGGGAGGAAATCGTTGAATAATTATTAAAGGAGGAAAAATGTCTGCTTCACATATCCGTCTCCCTACATAAAATAAAGTATTTTTTTACACAACCCAACGGCCACGCAGTCTGTAAATGCAGCAGCATTGATTCAATCCAAGCAAACTCTGGGCCGGTTTGAACAACATACAGTGTCTCATCAGCAGCCAGGCTTGCCTGAATCAACGTTGGTGACTGCCAATGTGACTGGCAAGGACGATACCGGTCCTACTGGTAATACTAAAACATTATACAACTTCATAAATAATATTTACCGTAGCTGCGGAGAGTATAAATAACACAATAAATACGCTGGCAATGTATTCTTTATGGTTAGATATCAGAAACAGCATAATTAAGAATAGGGAACCTATTTTTCCACTTAACCACGCCTGTATATTTGGAGTTTACATGTTCTCTCCGTGGCTGCTATAAATGTCCACATGATGAAGAACAACTTCGTTGAGCTAGCATTTGTGGCCAGGTCGCTTATGAAAAAAATCTATATAGCTCAGTGGACTTTACCTGGTAAAATAAAAAATAGTAGTACAATTAGAGACCGAAGTATTAACCAGGGCAGCCTGCCGGATTCCAACCCGCGAACCTCTTGTAACAAACGACCTATCGATTGCTTTTATGGTCACGTTGATGCTTTTTATGGTTGCTTGCCTAAGCCGGAGCAGCTGACAGCTCCACAGGCTCGTACCACTGGAGCTGTCCGCTGGTTATAAAGGTCATGCGTGTGAGTGCACACGTGTGTGGGTGTGTGGCCATGTGTGTGAGTGCACACGTGTGTGGGTGTGTGGCCATGTGTGTGAGTGCACACGTGTGTGGGTGTGTGGCCATGTGTGTGAGTGCACACGTGTGTGGGTGTGTGGCCATGTGTGTGAGTGCACACGTGTGTTGGTTGTGTGGCCTTTATAGGTGCCCACGAACAGCATCTACCCCAAAAAGTCTGTTAAGGCTACAGGAGGGAGGGGGCGTCTTTGTGTTTGTCATTACCTTTTTGTGGTTGTCATTACCTTTTTGTGTTTGTCATTACCTTTTTGTGTTTGTCATTGCCTCTTTGTGTTTGTCATTACCTTTTTGTGTGTGTGTGTGTGCATGTTTAGGAAGGAGCGAATGCGCCGTGGGTCGTTAGGGCACTGCCCTTTGAACCCAGACCCGGAGTTCGATTCCCGTTCACGGCCAATAACAGTGACGGATATCTGAACCGATTCTGTATCAAGTCAAGTCAGTTTCATTTTTCTTTACATACGTGATGCCTTTCTGGCACAAATCTGCGACTCAAAGCGCCATCACATAAATACTCAACATAACATGAGAACATTCTAAACAATTAGGAAATATGTATTTACATACAACATATAGATGTTTAAATAATAATACAAAAATAAAGCTTTGAGTCAGTTGTATGCAAGTGCAAAGAGATGTGTTGTTGCTGAGTGGTGACTGTGACTGTCGTGGTGATGGAGTCGAGTGTGTGGATTGCCTCGAGGAGGTTGTTCCAGATGTATGGTGCTGTGCTTCCTCTAAGTCGACTCAGCCTCAAATGAGTATGCTTCGGTGGGGGTGTAAGCAGCTGAGCCCCCTTTTTGATGGCTCAACGCCTTCCCCTCTTAAACGTTATTACAGTCGGACTTTTTGTATGCACACTGTCTACAATAGTCGGAGGATGTGGGGTAATCCGAACATCAGTACAACGAAGCGATGGGCGTTGCAGCCTTGCCTCATTCACATGGCAGTGAGATCTGAAGATCGTGCCATTACCAATTCTGCTTAGGGTTGAGCGTTTGTTTAAAGTTTGTTTCATATGGACTGTGTCAAACCAATCCAGTAACTAAGCAGGCTCACCACCAGCGCGTTGCCGTGAAGCATTGCGCTGGGAGTGTTTGGAGGCGGGGAGGAGGCGGGGGTCTGCAGCAGCGGTGTCCACGCACACCGCGCTCTGCGCTCCAATCCGGTGGATCTCAACGGGCTCCGCGATGATCCACCAGAGCGCCGTGACCCAACAAGGCCTCTCCAGTACCGCTTTAGAGTACACACGTACAGTCAGCGCGCCATCTGTTGGTGCGCGTTATTGTGTTTGCGATGTTGGAATTCTTCGTTCACGGGTGTGTAGGATTTGCCATCCGCTGTAACCAATATTGTTGTACTGTATGGTTATGTTCGTGTTTGTTCTGATTCGTCGTGAGATCTACAACAACGTCTTTTGCGATACACGTCTTGGCCATCGCTGGTGTAGGGCGCGTGTTTAGTTTAGAATCATGAATAGGGCCGAGGGCTACCTAGGGTTCGTGGAGGGGTTAAGGTCGGGTATTAGGAATTCGATTTAGGGTGATGGTGGGAAACTGCTGCCCCTTCACTGGGTGGACCAGAGGTCACTTAAAGGGTTCTCGGAGGTAGCTCTGTGATACCCACATTCGTGGCCCGTTCCCTAACACAAACGACGACGATGCACTGCTCTGCGAGCTTTCTGAATGGGTTATTTGTCTTTTGGCATCACTCCGATAACGGATTTGCAAAAAAAAACGAACATGCTCGAGGAAGGGTTAAGGGTGAAGGTGAGAGGGCAGATTGTGTTAGCTCACGCGGGGTGCTGGTTGTGTCACACACAGACACGAGTGTATCATTGACCTCAGCAGTGATCGATCCACTGCTAGACGAATGCTTCCTTCCCAAAAGCGTCGCCGTGGTTCAGTAAGTATCGGCTTGGGCAGTGCGCGTTGCTGGAAGGGAAAGAAAGACGAACGACGGAGTCGCAGCCCAAAGAGGGAACGCATGGCCCGGGGACGCGTCCCCTGCAGAGATGGAGCGACGAAATGCATTCGTATGCAGGACCAGACTGATTTAATTCGTATGAATGAATACGCGATCTGAGCATCAAATGAGCTCTCACCTCGTATAGGAAACGAACCTACGCATGCACGGATCGCTGGGGAGAAGAATTACGAATGAAGCTTCCAACTCGTGTGTGAGCCTAGGCGGCAGCTCCAAGATGAAAACCATCTTAAAGCCATCAGACCACTACCCTGTAGATAATTAGAAACTCGTCGGGCAGAAAAGCGCGTGCACCCTTGAGTCACGTGCCGTGCAAATCCGTGCTTGGGAAGGGCCGAGCTTGCGCGCAGAGCAGCACCCGTTGCTGTCCGCATATCACGTGATGTGTACTGCTGTGCCCACATCACGTGATGTGTACTGCTGTCCGCACATCACGTGATGTGTACTGCTGTGCCCACATCACGTGATGTGTATTGCTGTCTGCACATCACGTGATGTGTACTGCTGTCTGCAAATAACGTGCTGTGTACTGCTGTCCCCACATCACGTGATGTGTACTGCTGTCCCCACATAACGTGATGTGCATTGCTGTCCGCACATCACGTGATGTGTACTGCTGTCCGCACATCACGTGATGTGTACTGCTGTGCCCACATCACGTGCTGTCCCCACATTACGTGATGTGTACTGCTGTGCCCACATCACGTGATGTGTACTGCTGTCCGCACATCACGTGATGTGTACTGCTGTGCCCACATCACGTGCTGTCCCCACATCACGTGATGTGTACTGCTGTCCCCACATCACGTGATGTGTACTGCTGTCCCCACATCACGTGATGTGTACTGCTGTGCCCACATCACGTGATGTGTACTGCTGTCCGCACATCACGTGATGTGTACTGCTGTCCCCACATCACGTGATGTGTACTGCTGTCCGCACATCACGTGATGTGTACTGCTGTCCCCACATCACGTGATGTGTACTGCTGTCCGCACCGCTCGTCAGCTCTGCCGTCTGCTTTGTTTGTCTCTGCTCAGCCGACTCGGCCGATTTGCATGGCGGCGGGTGGCGAGGGACACGACGGGCGACTCTGCGCGGCGCGGGTCAAAGTACCCGGGGGGTGTCGACGGCGGTGGAGCGGCCCCTCCTCCCGTCCCCCGCTGGCTCCGCGTTTACAGCCGCTCGAAGGTTCACGACGGCTGACGAAGCGACCTGGCACGAGACGGTAACCGGGGGCGGGGGGAGGGGCCCCAGCGGTGCAGGGGATGGGTATAGGGAACGAGTGAAGCAGAGACGGAGGGGTGCAGGGAGGGAGTGCACGAGGGAGGGAGGCACGGAGGGAGGGTGAATGAGTGAAGGAGGGAGGGTGAATGAGTGAAGGAGGGACGGAGGGGTGCAGGGAGGGAGTGTACGAGGGAGGGTGAATGAGTGAAGGAGGGAGGGAGGGAAGGTGAATGAGTGAAGGAGGGAGGGAGGGATTGAGCGTGTAAGGAGGAGGGAGAGATGGATGAAAGGGTGGACGGAGGGATGGAGGGAGGGGGCTAGAAGGAGGCAGGGTGGAGAGAACGCGTGATGGAGAGAGGGAGGATGGCATAGGGAGAGAGGATACAGGGAGGAGAAAAGGATGGAGGAGATGGAGGACGTCATGTGGGGGGAGGAGGTGGTAAGCGGTGGTGTTTGTGGCTGGAGGCAGGGGCAGGTAGAGGGGAGGAGGGTGGGAGCAAGTCAATGAGTAAAGGTGGGAGGGAGCTATGGAGAGGGGGGAGGGAGGGAGGCCCGGCTTCGGTCTGGTAGCGGGAAGTCATCGTCTCGCACGGAGGGTTGTTCAGAGATGGCACGGGCGAGGGGGGTGGGTGGCTGGGTGGGGGTGTGCCCCGGTCCGTAACGGGCACGTCACGGGTGGGCCTCGTGAAACACAAAACACGCGGAGCCGGGCGAGACGACGCCGAGTGGCGGAGTGGCGAACACTCGGGCCCCGAGATGACGGGAGGAGCGAGGCTGGACGTGGGGCCGCCCAGGTGACGCGGCCCGAGCGGCCATGCGGTGGTGGCTGCGGCTGTCGGCCCACGGGCCGGGCCCGGCCGCGGTGCGCGTCCTCGCCGCGGCTTTGCACGCCGCGTGCGGCACGGCGTGCGCCTTCTTCTCGCGCGTGCTCATCACGCAGTACCGCTTCGTGTTCCCCACCTTCATCGCCATCCTGGAGGTGGGCAAACACAGACCAGTATGCCCCGTATCGCCTTAAGGGACGCTTGGGGCATGTGCTGTTGGCGAGTAGCACCTATGAAGACCCGCACGGCACACGAGGGGGTGGGTGGCCAGCACCATGCCCGGCCGCCTTTGTCTCCCGAGTGGTGATGTTTACACATCGCACCAGGTACTCATGTGAGGCTCCAGGACCGGTTCAGATAATCGTCACTGGTGTTGGCCGTGAGCGGAAATCGAACTCGGGCCACCGGGTTCGTAGCGCAGCGGCACGACCGCTCCCCACACAACGTACAAAGACGATGACCCCCCCCCCCCATAGCCTCGCCAACAGCAAGTGCTGTTAGCGAGAACCTATTGTGTACGACAGTAGGAATCTGGGACCGCTTACCCTCGCTGACTTGTTCTAGCTTATGATTAACTTCGCTCAGTCTCAATGTTAACCTCTCTCCCTCTACAATCAGATTAAGCACACGCGTAGCATGCACCGGCGCCTACTGCCTTAGCAAAACTTGGCAGAACCCTTCTGAAAGAGTCATGGGACTCAGCGAGGCCTTCATCTGTAAAATAAATATAAGCATAAAGATGATAATAATACTACACCTTGGCTATGTTTAAGGATAACCGGCATCGCGTAATCCTCTGGGCACTTCCTCTGTTGAAATTTGCTGACAAAAACATCTTAGACGAAATGGGGCTTGTCCTATGTTTAAGTATGCTCTGTGAGAAAGGGACATTGCCCGAAACGTCGCATATGATATATTTATTTTTCGTTTATTGACGAATGTGCTGAGAATTTATTTTGTCATTTTGACGAAGGATGTCCATGTGTGGGGACGGTGGGGGGGTGTTGACTTAGCCCATCATCCCTCCCTCCGTGGGTCGATACAACGATTACCCGCTGACGGTCAGCTGAGAGCTCCCCTCTCTCCCCCCTCACTCTCTCCTCTCCTCTGTCTCTACCACGTTTACCAACCCAACCCATTCTGTCTATTCCACTCCGTGTGGCTGCTTTCGCACTCAAGTTACACTCCCCTTATGGCACTGCGGATTGAGAAGTCGGTTAATTTCTCGTAGGCCGTGGTCTATGCGCCTACACCGGCATGGCTTTGTCTGTTGAGTTTTGTTTCACTCGCAGTGAACGTCACGCAGAGAAGTCGGGCTTGGGCAGGACGGTTGGCTACGTTCAACGTGCATTATTATTTATTAAAATATGTAAATGAGAAACACAAACTTTATTTATACGATGAGATATGAAGCGATTTTTCACAGATGTCCAGTACACATCCACTGAGCCAGACAAAACTTTCGGAACAGGTTGAACATTAGAACGAAACAAAGTACTCATCTATTGCGTAACATGCCCGTGCAAAGTAACCTTTGCACGGGAAGTATGACTTGAGAGCAGCCACCAGGGGTGGCTCATGGCTCCAGGCAGTAGCTTCATCATCAAAGCTTACTCCATAGACTCACACAGAGACCCATAGACTCACACAGAGACCCCCAGACTCACACAGAGTACCGCAGACCCACACAGCGACTCGCAGACTCACACAGAGACCCACAGACTCACACAGAGACCCACAGACTCACACATAGACCCATAGACTCACACAGAGACCCATAGACTCACACAGAGACCCCTAGACTCACACAGAGATCCGCAGACCCACACAGCGACTCACAGACTCACACAGAGACCCACAGACTCACACAGAGACCCACAGACTCACACAGAGACCCACAGACTCACACAGAGACCCATAGACTCACACAAAGACCCATAGACTCACACAGAGACCCATAGACTCACACAGAGACCCACAGACTCACACAGAGACCCGCAGGCTCACACAGAGCCTCGTCATTGATGTTAGCCATGGCCGGGAACCGAACCTAGATGCACGCACCACTAAGTTACAACTCTGTCTTCCACACACACATGTATATACATTAACAGATGCACCCAGTTATATACAAGACAAATATCCCCCGTATAGCCTTAACCGACTTTTGGGGCAAGTGCTGTTAGCGAGCACCTATGAAGGCCGGCACAGCACACGAGGGGGTGGGTGGGCGGTCAACACCACGCCCGACCCTCTTTGTATCCCCAGTGGCGAAGTTTTTTTAGGCTGAGTCGACCTAGGGGAGGCCCAGGACCGGTTCAGATAATCATCACTGGTTTTAGATGTGAGCGGGTCGCCGGGTTCGTAGCGCAACGCACTAACCGTTACACTACCGCTCAGTAACACGCACAGTCACAGGCATGCGCAGTCACACAGTCAGGCACATAGTCGCACACAATCACACAGTCAGGCACATAGTCACACACAGTCACACACACAGATACACAGTCACACACAGTCACACAGTCAGGCACATAGTCACACACAATCACACAGTCAGGCACATAGTCACACACAGTCACACACACAGATACACAGTCACACACAGTCACACAGTCAGGCACACAGTCACACACCGTCACACACACAGTCACACACACAGTCACGTACTCAGACGGACCCTGCACTGCATGAGACTCTGGACTGTGCCCCTCTCCCCCGCCCCGCCCCTCTCCCCCCTCTCTGCTTGCTCTTCTCCATCTCACTTTCTAATCATCCGTCTCCTCCCTCTCTCCACCCCTCTTCTTAACCATCTCTGTGTTCCCACTCTCACCTCACTCTCCCGTTGGCCCTGCCTCTTCCCTCTCTCGCCCCTCCCTCTGTCTCTACCTCATCCAATGTCTCCCCCCTCTCCCCTCTCCCGTTCACCCTCCGGCTCCTCTCCGCCTGCCTCTCTCTCTCTTTCTCTCTCCCCCTTTCGGCTCTCATCTTCTATATTCTCCCTCCCCCCTCTCGTCTATATCAACCCCCCACCTCACGGCCCCATCCTCTCCCCCGCCTTCCCCTTCCACATCTCCCCCCCTTCACTTAGCCCTCCCTCCTCCCCTTCTCACCACTCCCCTCCTCCGCCTTACCCCCTCTCCCATCTCACTCCGTCATCTCCCCCAATCCTCCCCCTCCCCTCTCTCCCCACTGCTCCCTCCCCCTCTTCTCCACCTCCAACATCCCCCAACATCTTGAGCCCTGACACTCCTCCTCTCTCATCACCTATCTCACCTTGGTGTCCGCCCCTCTGCACCTCCCCACTCCCCCACCCCACCTCGCCTACCCCTCCGCGCCCCCCACGTGCACTCGGCCTACTCCTCCACTGCACGCTGCCCGCCGCTGCGCCCACAGACGCTGCTCCTGCACGGCGTGCTGGCGGCGCTCGGCGGGACGCGCCTCGTGCGCCTCGAGCCCCCCTCGTGGGGGGCGGCGGACGCCGTGGCGCTCCCCGCCGTGTGCCGCGGCTTCCACCACGTGACGTACCTGTGGACGCTGAGCGCCCTGGGGCCCCCCGCCAGCGTCCTGCTGCCCCGCCTGGCCCCCCTCGTCTGCCTCCTCCTGCTGCTGCTGCTACCGCTGCTAGGGGGGTGCGACGGCGGCGCGACGCGCGGGAGGTCGGGCCCGGCCCCCCACGAGCTCCTCAGTGCCCTGCTCGCCACGGCCGGCGCCCTGCTCTGCGGTACGGGGCTAAGCACCCTGCACCACCACCACCACTCAGCGCCCGCCCAGCAGTGAGGCTCAGACACCCATCACAGGGAACCTTGGGGCTGTTACCCAGCACCCAGCACGCAGCACCTATACGGTCAGACGCCAAGCACTCGTGATAACGGAATGACAATTGTCAGATTGCTCATGGGCACGCGCGTGTATGTGTACAGTTGGTAGGAGTGGGCAGGACGCGTCATCTGTGTGCCGTGCAGCGGCCGGCGTGCTGCACCACGACCGCACCGGGTCACCCGAGTTCATTTCCCCTTCACGGCGAGTGATGTCTGAACCGGTCTCTGGCCTTGCCTAGGTCGACTCAGCCTTAAATGAGTACCTGGGGCAGTGTGTAATCATCAGCACTGGGGAGACAAAGGCGTCTGGTGCTACTGGTGGCCACCCACTCCCACGTGTGCCGTGCCGGCCTTCAAAGGTGCTACTCACTACCAGCACTTGCCCCCACAGCCTATTAAGGCTACACGGGGGCTGTATTTGTCTTTGTGTACATGTAGGGCGGGGGGTGTCTACGTGAGCGATGTGAGTGTGGGGCGCGGTGAGGGCGGTGCCTCGGTCTAATCCCGGTGACCTGGGTTCAGTTCCTGGCCGTGGTGCAGAGATTATCAATATTGCCTGAACCTTAGTTTTTGGCATGTCCTTGACCCTGTACACACCACGAGGAGAAACAAAGGCGGTCGGGGTTATGGTGCACTGGCCACACGCGCCCCTGGCGGTGGTGGCTATGCACGTGGCCTGTAATGCAGCACTGTGGAGGAGGCGAGGGTTGGTGGATCAAACACAGATGGTGTAAAACTCCCTCCTTCCCGTGGGTGTCGTGGAGGAGCCATACCCTGGCTCGCCAGGAGACGGCGCACGTGCGGGTGTTCTCCGCTTTTCTCCGGGTGCTCCAGTTAATTAGCTGACAAAACCTTCATATATAGAGGACGGCAGAGCTTTGGGGGAAATTTGGTTCCAGCTCAGCACCTGATTGCTGCCTTCCCACTCGTCGGTGGTGCCTCCTCCTGTCGCCTCTTCGTCGTCCTCTCTCTCTTCAAGAGTGAGCAGCCACCGTGCGGCGGTGCTGGATTACAATTTCAGATCATTCTTCACGTTTATTTATTACTCAGGGACAACTTAAAACGGGAGTTAGAGTACACGTGACAATAATTACTGAATTGTGACTACACACAGCAATCATCGTCCCCCACGACAGGCAGACGAATGTAAAATTGCAGGCCGGGTTCTGAGTCACCTTCTGGCCACAGTGACAGCTGCCACTAGGGGTGCCCTGTCAAATGTTGAGATGGGATGGATAGCGCCCGGAGATGCCCCGGCGTACAGGAGGGTGCGCCGTCACACCCACGCCCTGGCCAACGTTCACGAGCGTGGTGGCCGGCTGGCCCAGCGGTCCGAGCAGCGAGCCGGCACTGCTGACTCCTGGGCTCCATTCCAGTTCCAACACGGGAGGTCCTGAGGCTCTTTTGGTAGCCTGGTCTGCCCCGCTTGGTTGTCGACGGCCATGCAAAGCGGTTTGTTAATGTGAGCCCATTGGGTTCATGCTGCGATTCTGGGACTTATGTTAATGTTTCAATCAGCTGAGAGCTCAAGAGGCCAGAATGGGTCTCATTTGCAAGAGCGACCTGGGGCATTGGTCTGCCAGTAAGGAGCATTGATTGCTATGTAGTCCCAAATGAGTGAATTGCAGGACATTTTCTACATTTGGCAAATGATAGCGCAACGAAGTGGCTTATCACGTAGAAATTGTATCGCAGCCAAACACTCTAAACGCGTGTTGATTCTAAATGCGGAGGGAAAACCCGGAGCACCCAGAGAAAAATCCACGCCAGCCACCGCGGCGCCCCACGGTAGGCGCAATGTCACGTGGCGCGAGCGCTCAGCCGGCTGACCGGGGTCGGGGGTGGTGCTGTGCTACGTCAGGCCACGAGCGGCTGGCGCTGGAGTCGTGGGAGGCGTGGCTGCGGGCCCTGCCGGCGCTGCTGTCCCGCGGGCTCTTCCTGTGGCACGTCGAGCGGCTGTTTGTGGAGGCACCGCGCCCTGCCGTGCAGACCCTGTACCTGCTCAACTTGGGCAGCATGCCCTTCCTGCTGGGCCTCCTGCTGCTCCACCCACAGGTGAGACAGAGACACCCCGCGTGGCCTTCACCGGGCTATCGGGGCAAGTGCTGTTGGCAAGCACCTGTGAAGGCCGGCACGGCGCACGAGCGGAGGTGGGATGTTCAGCACCATGCCCGGCCGCCTTGAAGCGCCAGACAATCTCCACTTATCCACACTCCTAATCTATCGCTAACCCCAACTGATTCCTAATCATATCCTACCTCGACCATTTTCTATCCAGAACGTACCCCTAACCCTAACCTTCCTAACATTAACCTATTCACCCCCTTGTTCCCATATATTGTTTTTGCAAAACCATTAACACTTTTACCTGGACACAGCCATTACCGGCTGCCACAGCATTTCTCACGGCAGCATCTGTTCTCTCCCTGCCCAGGAGGCGCTGGGCGCTGCTCGCGGGGGCAGCTGGGACAGCCTCATCTTCCTGGGCTTCCTGGCGCTCACGCTCACGCTCGGCTGCCTCTCGCAGTTCCTCACGCTGCTCTGCGTGCGCCTCAACTCCGGGCTGGGCACGGCGCTCCTCGACAACACCGCGGCCGGAGACTGGGCCGCTCTGCTGGCGCTGCCCGGCGCCGGCTCCGGCGTCGGCGCCGTCGCCGGGCGGACGGCGTGGCGGGGCAGGGCCCGGCTGGTGCTGGGCCTGTGCCTGGACGTGGCCGGGCTGGCCGTGTTCGCTCACCGCCTCCTCCGGGACTGCACGGCGCGTGCCGGCGCGTGCTTCGGCCAGAAGTGCGTCGGCTCGGCGGACGGCGGAGACGGCGACGGCGGCGACGGCGGCGTTGGGGTGCGCGCGGGGACCCCGGGAGCCGCCGTCCAGGACCCCCTCCGCAGAACCCCCGGTGGTGCGCAGGCCGTGGCGAGGGCTCCGCTCCAGTGGCTGCGGTGGTTGCGCGGTTGGGGGGGCAGGACCGGTGCCGGCGCGGTGCCGGTGGATGAGCGCGCGGTCTGCGCGGTGCACGTGGAATGAGTGCGGCGAGAGGGACGGCGACGCAGAGGAGGCCGGGTGGCTCGTAGGTCAGAGAGCTAGGGATCGATTACAGGTGTCAGCTGCCTGTGATCATGCCAGGTTCTCAAGCGCAAGGAGTTGAAGGGACTCAGCCCGGTCACCAATGACTGCGCACGAAAAAAACCCATCACGTTCAATTTGATTCTGCACTCAATTTGGTTAAATTCCACGTCTGAGAATTAAATGTATCGCTTTGACCGTCATGTGATGAAAGTTACTTTCTCATGGCCGAGCGGTTTGGAAAGTGCTGCCCTCTACTGCGCTAGATCGGGGGTCACTTGAAGGAAGCTCAGAGGTAGCGCTGTGATATCCGCGTTGGCAGAGATGAAACAAAATATATCCACAAACGTATTGGTCTCACGTTGCAACTGCACCGTTGAGGCTCTGTGAACTTGAAACTCTGCGGTAATGACAATTAGCTCATGAGCCAGATCAGAAGTTGGTACTATCTAAGGTATCACCGATTTATTTACATGGCCAATACGAGTGAATTGCTCGATAACCCAGCTCATATGAAGCGGTTATCGCATAATTCACCATTGTAGGTAACATCAATAAGTCGGGATCACTATGTTACCCCACCTCGGATGGTACCGACACAGTGAAACATCTCTTGTGGGCTTATGGACGAGATGGAGACTTGCAAGAGACATTCAGGGATGCTGTGATAACCAAAACTCCCATGCAACGAATCTGGCTCTCGCACACGGCATCCTGCTCGGGGCTGGGTTCCAGCCGGGTATCTGACCGCTTCAGCAACCAGTCCACACGCCGTTTCCGCTCCGGTGTTACCAGCAAGCCGGACAACACGAAGTGAGGAATTAAGCCCTCATCCCTTTCCTGATGCCCTCCAGAGGGCCTCTGTTGAACCCCCTCAGCCCCTTCCGCCAGCAGTGGCGCGGGCGAGCAATTGCAGGGCTGCGCCTTTGCCTGTGTACCCGTCGACGTAGGGGGGTTCGAGCCGAGCCTTCCCCCTGCGTTGTTGGCCGAGCACTCCGCGATGAGGGCCACTAGTGTGTTTTACACCCGGCGCGTGGCTGGGGTTGGTAGATTACGCGAGGAGTGGGAGTTGCATCACACCCGATGCGACATTTCCTGTTTTGCACTGCAGTTTTTTTCCTGTAAATTATGACAATTAAATGAAAATAGAAACTGATTTACAGTCATTTGTCAATCTACTGCTAGATGAAGGCCATACTTCCCCACGCTGGTTTAGTGCTGGCTCGGGGAGGAGGGGCAGGAGGCCCAGGACTGGTCAAGGCGACATCTCTCTCTCTCGCCACTGGTGGTGTTATCTGTGGTCACAAATTCAACTCGGGTGGCCGGGTTTATAGTGCAACGTTTGTTTTACAGGAGGCTATAGCCCTCATGCGTGGGCGTTCAGGGGTAAGGTGCGTCGGGAATAAAGCCGCAGAGTCGTTGCTTCTGCGAAATAGCGGAGTGGGTAGCGAGGATTCTGAAGACTTACAGCCCAGTTACGAGGTCAATGCAATTATCTTCTCACGCTACTGCTGGCTGCAGGCCCTCCACTGGGAGCTCTAGAGAGAAACCCTCCAGACGGTTACTTGGCCTACTCTTCCACACTGGTCAGACGTCTTGGAAGAGTGGGAGTACCCACACTTTACCCCACCGCCACACGCAACCTGCCGATCAACGAATTGTGCGTGGACAAAAGTGGAAGTGGGGGGGGGGGGGCATTTGTGAAACTTCCCTCCACTGTTTCAACTGCCGCGCCTCGAGAGTGACACTGAGACTCCTGGGTTGCAAGCCCAGGGTGCTGACCATTACACCACGCCAGCCACCCCATCAGTGATGGGTTGATGAGGAAGATGATGACGAGCATAGATATTGGATGGGGAGGGTGCAAAGTTGAGGCTCGCTAGCTAGTTACACCACTGTGGCAGCACCCCTCCCACATTCTCTTACCAGTGTGAACGATATCTGTAATCTGCGTGCGTGCTCGACCTCTCTGTGTCTCAATGTAATTCCAACTGAGCGGCGAGCATCTCTTCAGATCGTGGGCCCTTGGGCAGGACGCGTCACGGCTAAAGGCGCCGATCGCCCGTCGTCAAGAATAATGTCGTCGGAGTGGCAGTCAAGACAGGAGGGGACGCGCCAGAGAGGACGTCCGCAGAGAAAGACGCAGCAACGAAAATAAACACATCTTTGTGGGCCAGGCGCTGCGTGGATTTTCACATCGCATGATCGATCGGCAGCTTGGGGAGGCGGCCGTCCAGCAGTGGATCGATCATGGTTGATAACGATGGTGATTCTTATTGAACCCCACTCACCAAGCTCTCGCCGGTGACCCTGACGCCAACCATCACCCTCTCTCCCCATACATAACCACAACACGCGTGGCGCCCTATCCCTCTCAAAGACAAAGATCCCCCGCGTAGCCTTAACAGACTGTTGGGGCAAGTGCTGTTCGCGAGCAGCACCTATGAATGCCGGCACGGCACACGAAGGGGTGGGTAGCCAACACCACGCCCGGCCGCCTTTGTCTCCCCCAAGTGCTGATGTTTCCACACCGCAGCAGGTAATCTTTTGAGGCTGAGTCGACCTGGGGGTGTGAGCTGGGCTCAATGCAAGTTTTTACCCATCCCATCAGCCACAGTAAACGACGTATTTGGTGACGCGGCTGCTTTGGTAATGGTGCACCAAAAACATTCGTCAATAACACTGCGGCCTTATAAGAACTAACATTTAATAGCCGACGTTTTGGGCAATGACCCTTCTTCGTAGCACCTCCGATTAACTCCCGCACCTCAGATTAGCACTGTTGGTTATGTACGGTGCGCAAGAAGTTCACCATACATACATAGCACGTGACTTTGCATTCGCTGTTCATTGGCGGCATGCCTTCAATCCCCACGGCAGCCACCAGAGGGCGATGTTAATTCGCGGCCTTCAATCCCCACGGCAGCCACGAGAGGGGGGCGCTGTCTCGTTTGCCGCGCGAGGTGACGACGCCGTTGCGATTCAACAACAACCCCCCTGGCTCCCTCCTCCCGTCCGGAGCACGCCACTGATTCCTTCGCTCCATCTCCACGTTGGACGTCTCTGATCTGTGTGTCCCCCTGTCGCAGTGTCGATCCAAGCGTGCACCTCTCTCCATCCTTCGCACATTGCAAAACCCGTTTCGTGGTTTAAATCGACTGAATCCATCATCATCATCAGCCGTGCGAGGTCGATACAAGAGTACAACTTTGTCGGAAATCAGTGACGAATTTGGGAACGTTGTAACATATATATGGATATATATATAAATAGATATTAATATATATATGAATATTAATATTTATATTCATATATATATGAATATATATGTATGAATATAAATATATATTAATATATATTTACTGAGTCTACTGGGAATGTGGACATCCCACCACTGGCTTGGGGTCGCTGGCAGAGCTGAGCGTCTCGCCCACGTTGAGCAGAAGGGGGTGGGGGACGACTTTGACTTTTCGCGTTTTCCAAAAACGCGGAATGTCACCGCGACCACCGCAAGTCCCCACAGGGGCCACCGGGAGGAGCGCGGCCCAGCAGCGGGCGATGCGCCAGACGCAGGGGCGACAACTTGGACTCAGCGCGTGGGTTAAACCTATCTATTAAACTACTAAACTAAGCTATACAACTATAAACTAAACTATTAAACGAAACTAAATTATTTTAGTTTTACACTGAGCTATGCAGCTCTTTTTCAGAAGCGATCTGGCCACACACGATAATAGCTCAACGAAGTCGTTTTATCACATTGAAATGTTTAGCAGCAGCCAAATACTCTAAACGCGTGATGTTGATTCTTAATGTGGAGGGGGAAACCGCATGACCGAAAGAAAAATCCACGCGACCAACGGGAGAACATGCAAACTCCAAATATACCGGTGTCAGAGTCGGGATCGAACCCACGACCTCCTGTATTCCAGGATGTGGAGCCAGTGTCATGCAGAGGTAAGTGTGGCGAGCGTTAGGGTTAGAGATAGAGCTCGTGTCTGATTGGCTAGTGAGTATATGGACATTTCAATCTTCGCGCGCAGCTGACTTCTGCTGCCCGCGCGGGATGCGATTCCCTCCATTCATCACCCCGTGCCGCCGCCGCCTCCCTGATGCCGCTGATGCCCACGGCCCGCACGACCGACCGACTGCCTCTTCAGCACAGACACGCGGCCACTGTGTTGTTTTATATCAGCGTCTGGACGCTACATACATCCACACTCGATTGTTTAAAGGCCTCTATGTACGTCTATGGATCTCCGAGTGAGTGATGTAGAGGACGCTCTGTAAGTCTGTGCGGTCTCTATGTGCGTCTATGGATCTCCGTGTAAGTGTTGTATGAGGTTCTATGTGAGTCGGTTGGGGTCTCGATGTCCCTCATTGTAAACCCAGGCTCAAGACCTTTCGTTTATCCTTTGTTTGTTTGTCTGCCTCGATCTCCCCCTCGCTCCGTGAGATGAATATGTCCATTGTTTACGTGCGGCGCTTCGGGGTTGCGGTGGCATTAAAACCGCGATGCAAACCGCGTGGCTCCGTGCCGCGGGGACGTTCCCGGGGCGACGCCGCCACCTGCGCAGCGGCGCGCGCGAGGCCTCGCGGAGCTAACGAGGACAACGTGGGCTGACTCGGACCAGAGACACAAAGATAAAGATCCCCCGTATAGCCTTCACAGACTACTCTTTGGGTTTTTCGGTAAAGTCACGTAGGTAAAAAAAGAAAACAAATAAATAAAATCACGACGTTTCGGAGGCAACACGGAAGCTTGTGTTGCCTCCGAAACGTCGTGATTTAATTTAGTTGTTTTCATTTATTTAATTACATTTTTTATCTACGTGACTTTACCGAAAAAAACATAGAGTATGAATCCTTGCAGTCACGAAAGCTTCAAATCTATAACCTTCACAGACTGTAGGGGCAAGTGCTGTTAGTGAGCACCTACGAAGGCCGATAATCGTCACTAGTGTTTGCCGTGAGCGAGAATCGAACCCGGGTTGCGAGGTTCATAGCGCAGCGCAGCGCGCTAACCGCTGCACCACCGCTCCCCACACACATGTGAGAAGGAGTCACGGGGAGACGGGGATTAAAACTCTCGCATCGCCCCCAGCGCCTCCGACTCGAGCCGCGCTACCCCCTCCCCGTGCCGCACCCCTCCCTCCCCCATACCCCGCCCCTCCCCTCCGACCCCCATTGTGTTGCTGAGAAGTCGATGAGCTTTGAGGAGACGGCGGCGTTTGGACGTTTTACGACCCGCCACTTTCAGACGGAGAGATCAACAGAGCGCGCGTTAATGGAGCCGCCAGACCCGGCTTTTCTGTTTCCCGACTTCCACTATCCCCTGCCCCCTCTTCCTCATAGCCTGCCCCACCACACCCTTCTGCACCCCCCCCCCCCATTCTCATGTGAGGCCGAAGTCGACCTAGGGGAGGGCCAGGACGGGCTGGGAGCGCAGTGCGCTAACCGCTACACTGCCGCTCTCCACCGCAAACGCACACCCCTCGGCGGCCCCCTCCCCCATTCTTTAACACGCATACTGCCCCCCCCCTCCCCAGCCCACCACCCCATTGTGAGTTTAGCACTCAGAGAGATGAGGAGGAGTGGGTCAGTGTAAATCACGGGGCCTCGGCTGATCCGTTTAGACGCCGAGACGCGGCTGCCGGGACCCCCCCCGGCGTGGCGCGTGACTCCACATGGAGGCACGGCCCCGCATTCTAAGGACGCCCAACGGGTCCGGCCTTGAGACTCACGCATGCACACACACAAACAAAGGTCCCCGAGGGGTGTGTGTGGTTAGCACCACGCCCGATCGCTTTTGTATCTCCAATGTTGATGTTTACACAGCACACGAGGTACTGTACTCATTTAAGGCTGAGTCTACCTAGGGGAGGCTCAGGGCAAACGCTCGTCGCCGAGTTCGTAGCGCAGTGCGACAACCACTGCGTCACCGCTCCCCACACTTCTTCTACATGTGCACGTGCGCATGTCATAGACACACACATAGACACATACTCACAGAGACGCATACATGCACATACACACACAGACACGCATATAGGCACACACACACACGGACTCACACAGAGGCACGCGCAGACATAGCCATATCCACACCCTCAAAGCATAGTTCCATAAGTGGGCGACTGTAAGAAGAGCGTGAAGAGCTCTTCAGATCGGGACAGAGGGGGCGAGAGCGGGGAGCGGGAGGAGGGACGTGGGTAATGGAGGATGGAGGGAGGGATTAGGGGAGGGAGGAGGAGGATGTAGAATGATGGAGGGAGAGGATGGCCAGCAGGAGGGGTGTGCAGTGAAGAGGGGAGGGGGGTGGCGTGAAGGAGGAGGAGGAGGTGGAAGAGGCAGGATGGGAGATGCGGACAGGATGATGACTGATGGAGAGAGGGGGAAGCTGAAAGGAGGGAGGGATGGAGAG